ATATTAAACCAAGGCTAACCTATCCAATTGCTAGAGACAGAGGATTAAGGGTTCAGGTTTTTGAGGCAAGTGTCTGAGAGTATACAGTCTGGTGTCTGTCCACTGGTCATTACTCTTTGTCTGGAATGTAAGATCAACACAAAGGCAAGATCACCTTTAGGCCCCAGACAGTGGTCTGGACCACATTTTCCCAGTGGTCAGTAATAGACTTATTTTCGTGATTTACACTGGAGCACAATGTCAAGATGGTTATGTAGCAGAATGATATTCAAACTGCAGTTTCAGAGTCAGATTCTTTGACTGCATACCTTTCAATCAATTTCACGGTGTTAGCTGAATTACCCTGAAATTTAAAGACATCACAGTGGGTGCTGTCTAGACCAGGATCGCGCACTTAAACACACCTATTCATATTCAGTAATCTACCTGCACTAGCGCACATGCTTCAAATTCCTAATATTGTTCTGTTTGTATAACATATGTGTCTTTAAAATCGACCCCCCCAGAGAACTGTCTCCGCATTCCTCCACATGATAATGAGTCCAATCCACTGTAGTTGTGGCCAGAGCTGCAGTGGTTAGTTAACACTGTTTTATCCCCCACCTCTCTCCCTCCCTACCTCTCTCTCTCTCTCTCTCACACTCTTTCCCTCTGCCTCTCTCTCTCTCTCTCTGAAATGTATAGCCTAATTGAAAACAGAGCAGCGATTTTACGACGGCTCTCAGTGTTTCTCGTGTTCTGCCCCTATGGAGGCCATCTGCTTTGGATTTAGATTTCCTCCTCCTTCTCTCTCTTTCTCTCAGTTTCCCCTTCCCTCTCTCCACCCTTCTGAGAGGGGCTGATTGGAGGGTCTCTCCACAGTTGGCTCGGGCAACCGTGGGGTTTGTGGTATTTGTCCACTTTACTTTCTCTCCTTGTGTTTGTTTGATTCTAGAGCAGCAGGTTTTTTAGACTGCCTTCATTACGGGATCCTCAATGAGCAGGAGGCTGCTTCTCGTCCAACTTCGACCTTAATTCCTTCTCAGTCTTAATAAGCTTTCTCCTGTTTCTGTTCATCTTGTTTTCTTGTTTCTCATTTTTGTCTACTTTGTCTTACTGTCTCTTGCGCAGCTCTGTTTATACTATTTAATGCAGTTTGTGAGCTCATTAATCCTGCAGTGTAAGCCAAAGAATGATCTGTGTCCTTGTAGCAGGGCTAAACTCGTGAGTGGGAGTAGGGCAGGAAATTGTGTGCCGAGATTTTCCAGTTTTGTCTCAAGAGTGTATGAAAACCTGTGGATGTGGAATTTCTTGAGAGTTTATGTGTCTGTGTGTGTGTGCATTTGTGTCTGGGTGTTAGGGCAGAGGGACAAGAGGAGATAGAGGCATTGTGTGTGGTCATGTTTTGCGTAGAGATTGCATCAGTGAATGTGTGTATCACATGTGTATATGCTTCATTTAACAGTTCACTGACCCCGTAGTATGTGAGCATGTGTTTGTGTGATATGATGACTCCCTGCTGTGATCTGGACCAAAGGAGGATGTGGTCACTAGCTGTGATTATGGAGCCACACTGTCTTCTCTATGGACACTGTCCTCTACACACACACACACACACACACACACACACACACACACACACACACACACACACACACACACACACACTGACCCTTATCTCAACACACGGGGCTCTAGCCTCTGGGACACAAACAAACATTGACTCAGTGCAAGCCGGCCCTGTCAAAGTGATATGACAAACACAGCCCGCCATCTCCTGGCCCAGACAACATCAACCGATTTACTTTTTCAAAGCTTTGCTTACACTGTACAGACACCTAAAATGCCCTAAATGGCTCAGATATGTCCACTTAGCTCTCACTCTGGCACGAGCTTGAATGGCTTTATTTGTAGAGTGCGAAGGAAAACAAAACACATCCTCCTGTGCAGGCTCATCTCCAGAGCATTGTGTGGTGTGATGACGCAGTTCCATTAAATTAGTCATTGTACCGTGTGTATTGTGAATGGTTTGTAAATGTTGCTTTAAAGGCAGCAAAGCGTGGTTATTTTCCTGGAAATCAAGCCACACTAAAACATTTACTCAGTCATTCTAGTGTTTACAGCTGAGGGTTGTGATTTGTAATCCACTGACTGCACCAATGTAAATGGAAGGACAAGCCTTGTATGTATGTGATGAAACCCAAAGCTTCCTGCGTTAGCTGCTTCTATGAATCTAGCTGCCATATTTCTCAGCCTGCCTCTGACATTCATTCCCATGTGTTTGGGTGTCCATTGGAATGTGCCTGGACTGTGGCTGTAAAGTTTATGACTTCAGAACCAAAACTTGTTCTTCATCTAAGACCTCCATGAGAGGCAACATGTTGGCCTTCCCACAATGGGAGTATAATACTCCAGTTTATAACTCTAAATGTCAAAATATGTTCTGAGTTACTTTGCAGTTGTGTGTGCTGTATGTAAGGCAGAGGGGATATATTTGATAGAAGAAATTGGTTCATCCAAGGCCTTTTCAGGTTTTTGGTGAATTTTTATCAAGTTATTGTCAATATTAATAATGTATTAGATGCAATGTGATGTCATTCAGAAGTAATACACGTAATTACCATCTAAGGTTGCAACTAATGATTATCTTAATTATTAATTAATCTAATGTCTATTTTTCAATTCATTGTTTAATCTAGTGTCAGATAATGATAAATGCATTTTGTAGATTCAAAGAGCCATAAAAGGACGTTTTTCCTCGTCACTGTCGCCAAATACTTGCTCATGGTGGGAATTGTTGGGTCTGTGTAAATAGTTTTATAAGGAGTACAGTCTATACCTGCTCTTTTTTGAAAAGTTTCCTTCTGTTATGATTTGGCACCATACAAATAAAATTGTATTAAATTTAATTTGAATTGCATGTTTTATCTGACCGTCAGTCGTAAACCCAAAGACATTCAAATTACTATCATAGAAGACAAGGAAAAGCTTCAAATTCTCAAATAGTTTTTATAAAAAAAGGACTATAACGATTGATCGATTTTCAAAATAGTTATTCATTACAACAGATGAATGGAAAAATCTAATTCCTTCAGCCCTACATTTATATATACACCTTTCTTATATTTGAAAACTGTATTAACCTCCTTAGGACGCAGCTGACCAACCTAATCGTCAACATTACATCTACTTTTGGATTAGACATATAATCCATTTTCTGTGTGCACGTTAGCAGCATCTTCAAATTGATTGCAAAGGGTGGATCGAATCTGAAAGTACTCAGCTGTAGACGGAGCATGACACACAACCAAAGGCCAAGGCCAGACTCTGGAAACAGCATGGAGTGGAAGAGGAATGGTCATGAGGAGGATGAGTGCTGTTTCTGTCCTGCTGAGTCCTGGCTGCAGTATCTGGGAGAGATTTTTTACATTTGAACAAACAGCTGTCACAGGAAATTTGACTATGTTCATATTTCCAAATGAATAACGAGGGTTAAGGTTAGACCTCCTGGGTAGTACACCTGGTACTCTCATCATAGTTTATTTTTAAATTTCAAAATAGTCAGTTTTATTTTATTTGATAAAATAGTGGTTAGTCTCCCAGCAGCACAAACCTAGAAAGTGCTGTATTTTGGCATTCTTAAGAGTGAGAATGGCAGCCTGTTTGTAGTTACGTCATATTAACTATATCACTTGTAGGAGAGCATCCAAACAAAATGTTGCCATGGCATTGTCTTTGAGATTGCCCACTGATTGCATCAAGACAACCCTGTCAGTGTGTATAGACCAGTGTACTGCAGGCCAGCAGAAGTCAGATTTTCCAGCCTGCGTGCTGTCACAGTGGGAGATGCGAAGCTGACAGTGGGGGTTGAGATCATGCTGTTGAGGGGCCAGATTGAAGCACAGCCGCTCATACTTAGGGTTGGCTTGCCGGTGCTGATGCAAAGTGCTGACGTCTATTAGGGCAGAGCCAGATGCTGCTGATTAAAGTTCCTATTACTCACACACAGGCCGGGACAGGGACCAGGGATACAGATTGTACCCCTCCTCTCACTCTCACTGCCCTGTGCCCCCAACACCCCCCCGAAATCTTAAAGTGATTGTGCAAATAATCTGCAGTCTTGAAGGGGAACCAGGAGTGGACTGGCCAGGTCTAATTTCACTTCGAACGCAGATCATTTCCTAACCTTCTGGAAAGCTGCCATCAGTTGCATGCTGTGCATTGAAATTATTTCTGTCATATCAGAATTCCATCTTTGCATGAAAGCGTTTTTAAAGTTTGAGATAATGCAACACAATCCTTCCTTGGTACTCCATTTAAAATGTTTGTCTTCCAAATGGAAAGATTTTGTGTACCAAAATAACTAAGCAAGTTCTGGGATGATTGTTTCTGTTTTTTTATTTTTTGATGATGGAGCTTCAAATTGAGAATGACAAGCTCTGACAAACTTGCTAATCAGTGTACATTTGGGTTTCTTTTGGCAGCATAGAGAACAGTTTGTCTTTTGATTTATCCTTTTGATGACATCAGCAGTACATTTGTTTGTGACATGCTTTTAAGAGAAAACTCTTTTCCCCCAATGCTGTTATAGTGGTCTAAATAAAGTTGCCAACATGAAGTCATTGGAGCGGCTCCTCCCAACAGTATTGCCCTCAGGCTAGTGCTTTTACATGGCTGACTGACTGTTTGTAATCATCTCCCTCATGAGAATCAGAGGAGTAATTTAACACAGCTGTAATGGAAGTAAATGTCAATTACACAACTAGATATTGTGCCAAAACTGTGTGTAGGAGTGTGCTGTATGATGAAGTTGGATGGTTTAGCACGACAAGGATGGACACACCCTGCTGTCAAAGCTCATCGTCAATTTTCGTCCAGTTAAACGCAAGATGCTCTTGTCATTCTGAACTCCCTGCACAACACTGCATTCCTAAAGCTTTTATTTGAATGGTCAAGAATGTAAAAGTAATGAGTTTCCTACATGTGCATACATTTTATTCACCATGCTTTGCTCTTTACAGGCCAGACCCAAAGGTGAAGGGCTGACACCCTACCAGGGGAAGAAGAGATGCTTTGGAGAGTACAAGTGCCCTAAGTGCAAGAGAAAGTGGATGAGTGGCAACTCCTGGGCCAACATGGGACAAGAATGTATCAAATGCCACATAAACGTCTATCCACACAAACAGGTACTGCGACCTATAGTATGAGATTCACTTTCTGACAACTTGCATTAATGTCTTGAAGTAAAAAACAATAGTCGTGCACTTTGTTTAAGTGGTAGATTGATCCGTCTCAACCAAAGCGAACAGATTCCAGACTCTGGTTTGCATGGCTGCGTATTGTCTTGAGGATATTCCAGATGGCCTCATTAAAATAAAATAAAAATCATACCACTAACAATTACTTTTGCCTCTTTGGTAATAAACCAGCACTGAATAAACTAATTACATTTCCTGACTGATAAAAGTTTGGGATTATTTACTGAATGTCATCAAATCTTAAAGCAAATATTTCTTTATTAATGGCTCACAGACGCAAAGTAACTCCAGGGTAATTGAGGCAGAAATTCCTCTCACATGTAATAATACGAAAAAGTGAAATCATATAAACCTAGATGCTGTGGAGTGTTTTTCCGAACAGCAAACACTCAGAGGGAATTAACGTGCTGGTGAGCTGTCTGTTCAGCTTAACATTGAACATTTTCCTCACAGCCTGTTGACTAAAGAGATGGATCGCCTGAGAAAGAATCTGCTCTGTTTTCTCCAGCTACAGATATATTTATCCTCGACACTTCATCTTTTAATATTTATGCTTTTCCACATTCTTCCAATTCCACTTCCTGAAATAAAATTGGGATTACCGTTTGAGGCCCTGTTCGTTCTCTAAATACCACGGCTGACCATGCTCCGCTCTGTTAACACTTACATAAAATGAAGCAGGAAAGGCACACTGCTCAACAGATTTACCCAAACTTTCTGGCAAGGAGTCACAACATTCCCAGACAATGGAAAGTTAAAGCATCATGTATTCCAAATCTTTTCTTTATTCATTTGCATCTTCATCAGCGTGGGATCTTAACCAAGTACATTAACTATAACCTTAAAAGTTGCCGGTACTTCAGTATTTCCATGGTGCTCACTGGTGAGAAAAACCCCACTCTTCTCTGCCTCTGTGTCCTGTGGCAAAGCTACACACAGGCAAGCAAATTCCTTGCATTTGCAGTGTCACCCACTTAACATATTTCCCCCTTGTCAGCATTTGAAATGGACCACTAACCTCCGTGTCCTCGAGTATCAAAGAGTTCAGCCTCTCAGCACAGCTCCTTCCATCCCTGCGGATTCCCATAAATAACCCGAATATGTATTTTCCCATCCACATTCATAAAATATTTGTCCGCAATGTGGCTGAAGTATATATGCACAATTTTTTGTTGTGACAGTGCTGACCTTTGAGGGAACGGAGCATCCAAAATGGAGGAAGCTAACGTAGCTTAGATAGTAATTATAAATTCCTCCACAAATGAAGAATGGTCATGAGACAGGAGTCGGCAGGACAAATATTTGAATAAACTATATAAACTTATTGCCCCTTAAGTGACCGACAAACAAGCAAAATTACAGTTAAAACTATTTAAACAAACAACTGCTTGCTAGTTCAGAGAGCTTTTTCCCTCCTTCAGTGACTCTTTATTGAATGAAATGATGTACAATCCTAAGAAGAATGTCAATGTCACAGTACAGACATAATAGAAAGAAGCTTTGAGAGCTATTGTTACTAACCAGCACTAACATGTTCCTGGTGTGCTAGTGTATTTTCCGTTAATTCACCAGTATTTACAGTAGGTGACTAACTAGGGTTTTTTTTCCCCCTGGTTTCACCTCTCAGGTTATATAGACACTGCCCTAACGTTATGTAAAATATTATTATTTACAAGATTCACATGACCCTACAATTGGAACATCAATGAAAGCTATATTTTATTGCATTTTTAATTTATTGTATTTTCACGTGGTGCAGTTATTTCATATGTTATATGGGTGGTACATTAATAATACTGAAATTTAGGTCACATTTCTAGTTATTTTGTTAGACAAACAAAGATTTTTAACATAAATAATTCACAATATTTATAAGGTAAAAATTGCATTCACACATATATTTTTGTTGTTGTTGAACACAAACCCCTACACCTACAACCTACCTACAACCCCCATAACCTCAGATGCCCTTGATTCAGACAAACAAAAGCTTAATGTGATTCCTGTTTCTATGCCAAACTCAAATAAACCCAAATACAAGTTAATTATCGCTGTGGGGGAGCTTTTTCTTTTCACCTCCTCCAAATAAAAGGCGCTCAGACTCCCTTGAGTTTCTTGGTCAAGGACACTTCAACAGGGAAGATGCCTGCAGCACAGGGACCTGAACCCAGTTCATTCTAACCACTGAGGGGACCCCATAAAATATACATCAGATTTTCCAGCTTTCCTCAAGGACCTAATGTCTTTGACGCACCGATAGTAAAGTCTCGATACTTCCTGGCAGACTCATTAGCGGACGACTGAAATATCTCCTTGTAGTGACCCATGGTAACCTAGTTTCCTTTAGTTAGACCACTTGGAATAAATAGTGAATTAAAAAGCTAACAAGAAAAGAACAATAGATGAGAAATAAAATTTTCCAGACTGGTTGTTAAAATAACCTCCAAACTTGCTGGCCCAGAAAGATTCCCTTTGTCCTCAATAATGATTCCAAGAAAGTCATTGCCGTAGCAGTTTGCTGATATTTCCATACAGGTCATCATGATCAAATGCATACTGGATCTTTTTCTTTAATACCAGGTTGTTAAAGTGTACTGCAAGTTTCCAGAGCTGATGGTGCGTTGCCATATCTCTGCAACTAATTGTGTTCAGTACATGCCTGGTCTGTGAAGAATATGGGAGTAATGCTGGCGGCCAAAGTAGTTAGGCATATTGCTGAGTTGAATCTGGTGCCAAATCAACTGCTTGCAAAACTCAAGAGTTTTATGCCGTGTGTGCTGCTTAGTTTGCCTTCTTCAGTGTTTAATATGACTCATTATTGGTCCTCTGTTTCTATCCTCAGCGCCCGTTAGAGAAGCCGGATGGCCTGGATGTTTCTGACCAGAGTAAGGAGCACCCGCAACACCTGTGCGAGAAATGTAAAGTCCTGGGATACTACTGCCGCCGTGTGCAATAATCATCTTTATTCAGAGTCAGAGAGCAACAGTTGTGTCCCAAGTCCTGTTGCTCATCCTCCATCAAGGCTGTTAACTTCATCCCTTGCCTTGCCCTGCCCAGGTTTCCCACATCCCCGCCCTGCAAGCAACATGGCGTCCTTTCCTCCTCACGACTTCCCTTCCTCCTCTCAGAAGCCTCACATATAGACGGTAGCTCTAACCTTCTCTTCTTTTTGTCCCTCTTCTCAACCACCAGTGGAACACAGATTTTTAGTTATTATGCTTATTTTTGTTTTAGTGACAGTATTGAAGATTACATCCAGGAATGAGAGGAACGTGTTAACTTAGGATCAATATTTATCTCTCAAAGTGCTCTTCATCAAAAGCAAAAAAAAATTGCCAACATCAGTGACTTTTTTATGCCTCATGCAGAAACCACATAACCCCATTGATCCAAACTCGATGTTAAACAACAGCTAATCGTTGTATTGAGGAATTAGCACCAGGCATATATTTCATTGGTGTCACTGACAGTATTGGTCTCAATAGATTACCTCGCCTAGGGGTTTGTTGGCTTTGTGTTTACAGCCTTCCATTTCCCTGCCAAGTGTAGTGTGTGGTAATGTGATGAACATTTAACCAAGGCCTCTCATGACGGTATAATGTATACGAGGCCTCTGATGTCTTGCCGTATTAGGGTCAGCAGCACATCTTATTAACTGTGAATTAACCGAGGGACAATGTGCCATACATCCCTAGCTTACATTTGGCCTATTTATTTTCTTGTCGTCTAGTGTGCAATTTGAATTTTAACTGGGACATAAAGAAATGTCTTTTGTATGTTTGTATATCACATTATTGTGTAATTGCTTCCACGTGTCTTTAGAAACTACTGTAGGTTCAGTTGCGTAGAGTCGCTCCTCGTTTAGATTTAGTGCGTCACTAACAGATAAGGTTTCATTCTCCCTCTGTAGAGTATTTTTGTCGCCACACAAATTCACAATTATCTTGTGGTATAGCTTTTAGATAGGTAAGTTGTGTTCATTTCGAAACACAAGACTGTCAACTGAGAAGGAGCTGTAGGAAAACAACAGTAGTTTCAGTACCAATGATCTTGCCATCCACAATGTTTCTTGCCAGTGTTGAATATTATATTTTTCAAAGCAATCGAAAATATGAACTGCTTTCCAAAATTTGATTAGCATTATGAAACAGGATTGTACTGTTCACATGTAAAGCCTGGTTGGATTTTAACCACAAAACAGTCAAACTCAAAGGAGATGTTTGAAAGAGATTCAGAAAGATATTTGAGTTCACATTTAGTGCCAGTTGATGCCTCGTAGCCTTAGTGGAGTCAGTGGAGCTAAATGGAAACTTATCCAAGGGCTTGCACCCTTCAAAACTATGTCCAAAGGCTGATTGCAGTGTAAAGAGAGTCTAGAGAGAGGTGAAGCTTTGGAGAATGATTTTTAGGTTGTTTGAGAGAAACAATAAGATTTAATATAGAAGAAGGTGATGCTGAAGATTCAAGGATATATTGAAAGTTATGATGAATTAAGTGTACACTTATATTCATTTTCTGTGAACATAAGTGCCTACTATTATAAACCAATGTCTTTAAAGAAAGAGAAGTACACATCCTGTTTACATATATCACTGTGCAGACCTAAAGCACTACAGAAGAAATTAATGTAGTTCTAACTTATAGAAACCTGCCTTATAAGGAACCTTGTTATAAGAATTGTGAACTATTTTATATGTACTGTATTTCTAGCCTTATAAAAGCTGGTTGACTATATTTTATACTGTAACATACTGTATGTGCCTTAAAAAGATTCAAATCATTCTGAAGTATCAGGACATGGAGGCCATTTGAAATTGGGAAAAGACATGTGCAGAGTTGGAGCAGTAATATGTGCATGTGGTAACTGTGATGCATAGTAAGTTTAATGCAGGTTCAAGATGTGACAAAGGACAAGAAAATGATACAGTTCCTCTATTAGCAGTTTGAACTGGCATGGTGGGTGTTCGCTTCAATGCAGTTTGCTGGGTTGGAGGCACAGGCTGAAACAGCATTTCCAGCTGGCAATAACAATCGTACTGTGGTCTGTTGTCATGGAATATCAACAAAGATGTTATTTCTTAGTCGATCCTCACAACAGAACAGAGTCGCACATGAAACTGTGGACCTCACTCTTTGTTTTTTTTTAATCTATTGTCGTTGTGTTTATCCAAGGAACCCTGGGTTTTGTCAAAAAATATACATGTTCACTTGCCTTAGTGGGAGAGTTTTCAGTGGCCGATAATGGTACCGCACACTTTAGGGAAATTTAGCTAAATTCCGTCTGTAAACTCAAAGGGGCACTCCAGTGATTCAGTGTTGCAGTTCCACACAGTGAGAGACTTGCATGAGACACTAAAGAATGGTCTTTACTTTTAGTAATGCAGCTCAAGCTCCAAAAACGCTGGATCATTAATTTCCCATAATGCAACTCAATAACATCTTTCAGTAGAATTCCCCAGCCTATTAAATGCCACATCTTTCAAACTCTACATCAAACGTTTGTAACACTGGCTTTTTGGTATTTTTCTCAGACTTGACAAACCTCCTCCAGAGCTACAGAAGACATTATACAACTGTTTTCACAGTCCGAAAAGTATTCACTATCACGGGTAAACTGAACTTCAAGAGTAAAATTGATGGAGTGCCCCTTTAAAAGAAGGAATTGGCTGATGTGCATCTATATTACCACAAGTTAAAGCTAAGCCGAATGAAAGATTCTCCTTTCAGCCTGTTACTGTTGGGAACAATCCATTTTTCTTAATGTTAACATCATCTTTCTTTTGCTCCGTGTGATGACACGAACCTAACAGGTCTTTACATCTGAACCTTATTGTGACATCACACCATGTGGCTGTAGTGAGAGGAATAGATACCAATGATGCCTTATGAACTAACCTCATACACAGGTAACAGTGTTATTGTGATTCAGAGTTCTGGCAGAAGAGATATGAGAAATCCTGTTAGAGAGTTTGATTCCGCCCAGAGACATGTTATGAGGAGGCCATTTTAAATGGCAAATCAAGAGCCAATGGAAGCAGTTGATACAATACATTTGCAAAAAAAAAAAAAAAGAAATCTCTGCTTTCAGACGTAATGTCTTGAATTACATATACTTGACTTTTCTAGTACCTTTGCAGTTCAAATTTGTTATTTTCTATGAATGAGATGTGTATTTTGGAACACTTAATAGATGTTGAAAATTTTAAAGCAATCTGCAAAAACTCTAGAGTTATTTCCCTGACAAAGATAAGACTGTTTTATGTATATATTTGATGGCCATTGTTTTCAAGGATAGTAGCTCTTTTAAAGTGTTATGCAATATTGAAGCTTTTTTGTGTGAAGAAGGGCCTATTGCTGAGAAATAAACAAAGCTGGGAGTTTTTTTCTTTATGTTTTACAATAATCTGAGGGGTTATCCTGCAGAAATATTTATGGAAAGATTTTTTACAACACTTTTTGTATAGAATATGCAACAAAGTTACACTAAGAAGGAAATATTGATGTCTACATAGAATATTATAAAAAAAAAAGCTGGTACATAATTAATACCCTTTCTCAACTATAAGCCATTGTATTTTTGTGTTTTGTTTTATGATGTTATCAGTGTTGAATAACCCACGTTATTCACTTTGCTGTGTGTAACTAATTATGAGCTGCCATTTACATCCATACAGTCGCATGTATTCATTTTGTAAACAATATTATGAAGATATATTGTGTTAACATGCAGAAATCTTTTTTTTTTTTCTTAATTAGTGACGGATACTCACCACTGTATAAGCACATTAAACTGTGAGATGTAGTTTGCTTAAAGCAGCAATGACAAGAAACTATTATAAAATGTTACCGTGTTATTAGTAGTTTAGGGAGTGTATACTTTTGTCAAGAAAGCGTGTGTGACAAAGAACTGTTTTAGAGTTTGCATGTGCATGCGTTTGGTTTTGAATGAAATATTATTTTGTGCAATGTATTACTTATTTAAATTACAGTAGTTTGCTACAGTACATATTGTTTTTAACATTATCAGCAACTTCTGATTGTTATTAGTCCTGAAGTATTTCATTTACCGCTAGTGTAGCCTCTACGAATAATACATATTTACTGAATGTAATGTGTTAACACTTATGTGGTCAATTTGGAAAGTTGTGTTTGTATTCTTTACTGTCTGTATCACTTGAGATGTTTGTAATGCAATATTGCAATAATGTAATATTTGAATTGGACAGAACACAGGCGTGAGGTAGGGAAGACAATGATTTTGGGAAACAAGGACAGTCATGGTTTCGAGAGTAGACCACAGGTCTGTTTTTCATGTCCATGAAACGGCATTCCAAAATGTGCCTTATTTGTTAGTTGGGAAAACATTTTAGTGCTATAGTGCTGTCGAGAGTTTGATGAATAAAAGTCATATTGAGTTAGAACTGCTTGGATTATGTGGTTTCATTTGTTTGGGCCCTCTGCTGAATTGTTGTTACCAGTAACTGGGAGGTGTTCACTCTGGAGTTTGATTTCAGCCAAAAACAACACATTGTTTTCTGAGAGCTCCTGTCTGTATAATATTCATTACAGAGTACATGTTTTCATCGTCACACTGCACTGTGTCTTTCAGTGCAAGCTCGAAGTCTTATGCAAGACTGGAGCATATAGATCACGATAAAGAGGCTTCTTTAATGGATTATTCATGGTGGTTGTGTAATGCAGAAGGCAGAGACTCGTAAAACTTTTTTTTCACTTTCCGTGAAAGTGCTGAAAGACAACAGACACATCGAGCTGACAGGTCTTGATTTCCACACTCCGAGTCAAACTGTGGACAGGAAAACCAAAACACACAAAAAAAGGACACCCACTGACATGGGTGCTGTGTGATAAATGTGGACATTTACAGCAGAAGAACCAGCTTGTACCAGTTGTAAAGATGTCATTGTTTTGCATGTGTATTAAATGTTGGCCACAGCACCGCCGTCTTTTGAGCCAAGTTTCCATGCACAATATTGGACGTGCATTCCAAATAACTAAAACTAAACCAGAGGGTGGGGACCCAAATTATATCAAGTTTGTTACAACATCTCTAGCTCAAACAGAGTGAGAGCTGAAAAGTCTCTATAGCAACAATGTAATCTGAGAATTCAAACAAACGGTGGAAGGTCAGCACGCATATGGTTTCATTTAGGGGCAAGAGCTGCTTTTTCACGTCGCTTCATTATTTACTTTCATAAAGTATTAGCTCGATAAGCAGCACCACCCAGTCTCTGGTTTTCAGACGTGTCCTGGCCTCCTTCTCTCTCGCTTCTCCGCCAGACGCTCTGCTCTTCAAGTGAAGAGGAAGAGCAGCCCACATACAAGCTGAAGACATTTTCAGGTTCCTTTATGGCTCCAGCAGATTGAATCATGTGCATTCACCGTGTCCAATGAGGCTATAGCCCACAGGTCTATCATCTGTCAACTGCATTCATGTGATATTTCAGCTCCACTGTAGGTGGATGTCACATGATGTCACATCCTGCTCTGATGGACAGGAAGTCAGTCGTGCTGGAGAACCGGTGTCTAAAAAAAGCTGCTGGATCATTTCCAGGAAGCTTTAAAACCAGCAGGGCTGGTGGCACATGAGAGCAAATGTCCTGTACTGAGACCAGAGCTGGTAAAATCTTAAAATGGTCATTTATTTGGCAGTAAATATAGAGTAATTGCACAATAAGAACATTTTATATAGTGGTTGACGTGTACACAAATTAGATAGATGGAGTTAAAACGTAGAAAAGCAAGATATCTGTAGCAACTACGATAAAAAGATTTTGAATTTTAACTGTCAGTCTTTCCATTATTAGTATTACTTATAAGCAAACAAAAACAACGTTTCATACCAGATTTTAAGCCTGAAATGATAAATATATGCATCTTTTTTACTTCATAATCAACAGTAGAAATATAAGATTTTAGGGTAGAACAGAACCACTTGTGACAGTTCCTCCTTGAACGTATCATGAAAATGGGATGGAGGATAAAGTAAATACTAAATCGCTGCATTCTGAGTCATCCGACAGAAGTCCACGTGTGAACTTAGGTGTTATTTGATCTCCCCACAGTCAGTGATGACAATTTTCTTGATCACGCCGCCGTCATGTAAACCAAAAGATTCCATCTTGGTGACCACATCCATACCTTCCTTCACCTGCCCGAACACCACATGTTTACCATCAAGCCTTTCAAAAGAGAGACAAAAAGGGACTTCAGCAACTGGTGAGTGATTCAGATTTGGATGTGGTGAGACTATGAGCTGAGAAGACTGATTAGAAAGTTCTACAAAGTACTTACCATTCAGTTTTAATCGTGGAGATGAAAAACTGGGAGCCGTTGGTGTTCCGCCCTGAATTCGCCATTGAAAGTGTTCCTGCAGAAATCAAAAAGCCAACAAGTAAATCAATTAAATGTCATGCAGTCAACAACATCTTGACCTCTGTTTACTCTGACTGGCAAAAGAGAAGCATGACACGAGTGAACAACTGTCTTGGGGAAGGCCCGTTTCTCTTTTCTGAAGCTGACGCAAACTGTGATTATGCAACGCTTTGAAACGAAGCACCAAATAATCAGCATGTGGGTGAAGTTTATTCAAGAGAGGACTTATTTGGATTAGTGCATGTTGTCTCACTTAAAAAAAGTAGGTCATTCACCTGGGGATTGCAAAATCCATATAGGAGGTGGGTTTTTAGTGCGGCATGAAATTAGGCACTGCCATCTAGTGGAAAGGCAGCTGTATTAGGATACAGACAAAAACCTGGCAGATTATTCTGTTAGGAATGCAGGAAAAGAGACATGTGTATCAAAATATACACAAGAGCTGCAATTTATAATTACTTCCTTCACTGATTCATTTGTGATTACTTTTTTGACTTATTAGGCCTTCAGTCTTCAAAATGTAAAAAAGTAGCTGATTTATTAATTCACTATAAAAATTGTTGATTCCCTTTCTGTCTTTTTTAATTCTGCCACTTCACTTCATACTTTCACCAGCCTACAGACCAGAATAGAAAGGCTATATATGAAAAGATGTTATGCATCATGGATGAATAAAAGGCTGTTTGTTTTGTCCTCTAAACAAAGATAAAGTAGTCTTCCATAAACGTATAAGCGAAGCTGAGGAGATGTACCTGGACAAGTGTGTTTTAATTTGAAGTTTTCATCTTTGAACGTCTTCCCGTATATAGATTTCCCTCCTGTGCCGTTGTGGTTGGTGAAATCTCCCCCCTGTAACATAAAACACAGCAACAGTCAACATGGCAAACACTTCTCACCTTATGTGTCTTCATTGTAAATCTTACCTGACACATGAACTCAGGTATGACCCTGTGAAACCCACATCCCTTGTATCCAAAGCCATGTTCGCCAGTGCACAGTGCTCTGAAGTTTTCTGTGAAATGAGTCTTGTTTATTAATATTAAAACAACTCAAGTATAGGTAAACAGTTCTCCGGATGGTGACAAAAACAAACGCAGCTCTTGACGATAAACTTTGTTTGCTAGGAAGCATTATTAAACATACCTGCGGTCTTTGGCACTACATCTGCATTCAACTGCAAGACAACACAAATCACATTCACATTAATGCACGGATGATAACACTGCACAAAGCCCTCATCTGAACACAGGTCACGGGTCTGCGGGAGAGACTAATGCTAGCTAACGTTAGCCAGCTAGCTCGCTACCTCAATAATTATTCTTCCCAGAGGCTCACTGTCGGCCTCGACGTCCAGGAACACGACGGGGTTCTTGGCGGGACCGCGAGAAAACAGCCTCGCAGCGGCGATGCCGGGGGGGCTGTACCTGATGCGTTTTTTTATTTGTAACATCGCTGCTCAGCCGACAGGGTGGGGGGGGAGGGGGGGAGGAGGAGGGGGGGCTCCTGTAAGGCCATGGGTGCTGCTGGTGTTTACGTGTGACGTCACACAGACCGACAGTCATACAGCGACACCACGTGGGCGGTTCAGGAAGTGAAACAACTTGAGAAAGAGTTGACAAGAAAAAAAAAAAAAAAAAAAAAATCCTCATGTAAGATCTACTTTGCATGAGTTTCATCGCTTTACGGCGCCTTAAGCATCACCATGGCAACTGAGCAACTACATCCAGGATGGACAGGAGATTTGATTTTATGCTTAAACTTGTATGAGTTATATATTTTCTTTCTCATTTTCTCAATGAAGCAATTCAAATCTATAAAGAGGAAACAATGCACTCTTTTGCTGACTGTTTTTTGGATGTACTCTACTGTACAGTACCCGGCTATTGAACTGACATTATGCTCGTCTCTGTCAGTCCTGGGCACCATAAAAGTAGCTTTTCCATTCTGATATAATTTGCATTAGTGCAATTTGCATCGCTTTCAACGGCTCACTGTGATGAAAAACAGCTCAGCTTTTAAACAAATACTCATTTGACCCCAAAGGGCTGTGCTACAGTGCCTTTGTGTGTATTCAGGTACAGGATTGGCAATGGTTTGTCTGACGTTTTGTCAACTTTAGTGGTCATACTGTATGTGAAACTATATATCACTACAGGACAGGCATGATGGCATTAATAAGTCTGTTCATAATAATCAGTTCACAAATTTAGCTCCAAACATATAATCTGACAAACTGTGATGCCTTTAAAACAACACGTGTGATGCTTTTTAATATTTCTTAACCACAATGAGGGGTATAATTATAGGGTATATTTTCACTGATCATCACCAGGGGTTGCAAAAGTTTTAACCAAGAGGGAACTTTATCTGACATTATCGGTGTCAGTATAGTGATCTCAGGTACACTGAATCAGCCGTAGCCGTATGGTTTGTTTGCCTGGTAGCTGTTATTATTTGCTACAGTCTTTGAATTAATCTACATACTTTCTGTATTGATTTCAGCTCACAGGATATTAGATGAATTTTTGCTTTTCTAGATTTAACAATGCCCCTTTTACTAATACCTTGTGAATTAAATAATAAAATGGTTAAATAAGACCTCTTTCACAGCAGACATTTTGACCTGTCACAGTTGTTACTAATAACATTAACAATACCAGCATGCACAATACCAGGACTCTGAATCCAAAGCAGCTAAATGGAATTCATCCATCGTTAATGTTATTACTCACACCTAAGCTTTTCCTACTGTGACATGTCAAAATGTCTTCCATGAAAATGGCCTATTGGTTATTCTGTGCTATTCCAGCTTGTAAAAAAGATTTGTAATGATTTTTGAATTATTGTAATCGCATATTCTATGTAGTTTATTATTGAAGATATCGGATTGTGTAGCACAAAATTACCGTCCTTTTGATTTATGTAATACATGCTGGTTGCACTTTGTATGTCAAAAGACACAGAGGCCATTAATTGTGTTTCATCTGAATACATATTTATTAGATAAATATTAGGATGTCACGTCATCTAACTACATACAGATTTGCAAGACTAAAAATCACAATGTTTTGACCAGTTTAGAATATGAAATGATTGTACATAGAATGTACAAAACCAAAGAGACAACTGCCACTTGTTGTGCCAATCACTTCAGATTGTACCTTTATAGCATATTTTTGCCAAATTGCATAAAAATTATAAATTTGACAAAATTTTTTACAAACTGTAAATTTGGAAACAACCCTTAAGAGCCACTCAAAGCTCAATGTCTCCAAGTCCCAATTATACCTCAAAGGTTTTAATAATTTTGTAGCACCTTTATAAAGTACACAGGTAATAGAGAAATACACAGAAATTTAATATTACACAAAGGAAAAATGTCTTTTTTTCTTGGAAACCCCACGTGGAGGGGCACATAAAGTATCTTACATAAATGAACAGGCGTGGTTAGAGAGGTCTGCACAGACACAATCAAACACAGACTCATTTTGCCAATTCAATGTCTGACAGGAGGATGGAAGCTTTACAAATTTCTAAATACACTATGCACACTCCCCCTGGAGAAAATGAATACATTTCTGTTAACGTGTCTCTATTTGTCATTTACATTATATACACATATCCCTTACATACCCCACCCCACCCCACCCCCAACCCTCTGCCACAACCTCCCCTTGTAATGCAAATATGGGGGGGTCTCCCCCAAATTTCATTTTACAATAATAATTGCATTCGCTTTTAAATCCTCAACTCAAATTTCCAACGTCTGCAATCAGACAGTACAATTTGTGTCGCTCAAATTACAAGACTTGAATTTGTGAAAGGTCACACTTACAGTTACACACTGTGTAGGGAAATAAAACATCCCACTGCGGCAGTGCATTGTCTTTAACAAACATATAGACGAACACAAACAACATCTGATCCTTCAACTGTGTTATATGCAGGTGATGTGATCAATTTTGAAGATCAGTCAAGTCATATTTGGTTTTTCAGATGGATTATGAATCTCAAAATGGGGGGAACTTTTATACAACAACATACAGTATACTTTTAAATCCATTAACTGTACTGCATAAAACTGTGTAAACCAAATTATACCTGTCATAAAAACACGGGACAAAAATAATAACTTAAAACAACATAAATTGTGATGAAAATACACAAATCATGTTCACACATTTTTGCTAAGTATGGTTATCAAAAAGCTCATTATTAGGCCTCAAAACAATCCAGAAGACATTTTGCACATTCTCACTTTAAATAAAGAGGATGAGGTCACTTGTTCCAATAATATTAAACAAATCATTTTTGGAGGAATTTAGACCTCTAAGCTGCATTAACAATCTTTTAGACAGAAAAAAACAGCTAATTTAAAGCTGACCGATTTATATATATGTATATGTATATATATATACATATATATATAAATATATATATATATATAAGAGGATGAAACAAATCCTCTTAAAAATTGCCTGCAGAGCAAAGCAAATATTCCTTTCCACTGATGCATTGTCACAGGGTAATGGAAAAACTGTACACAATACACAGGTACTCATTACAAGGCCAGTGAGAGTGCATTTGGATCAATTCGTTACAATATTGGACTGGTTATAAGGGATTCTGTGTGTGTGTGTGTGTGTGTTTGTGAGTGTGTGTAGTCCTTGACAGACATTACAGTACCATGTAGTTGCCAGTAATAGATAGGTACAGTACTGTACAGTCACAAAGTATTCACAAAGGGTATATACAACAGCTCTGGAAACACTGTTGGATCATGCAGGATGTTTTTCCCCCAAAAAGATGCAGTTCAACAGTAACAAAACGACGAAAGGAAAGATCAGTACAATCACACAGACGTTTTTATAAAATACAGTGATTTAAAAACTTCTGTAGACGTCTGTAGGATATTGAAATCCTGCTCTTACACCAACATAACATATCCAGGCCCAACACCTTAGAAAAGCATAGGACAACTTTGGTGATGTGTATCTGATTAATTAATGTGAGACAAACATAAAAAAGGACATCAATAATAAAAACAACTGATGAATTTGAAATAAAATAATAAATATAAAGATGAGAGAAAATGTTTTGATCAAGCACGTTTAGGCTGGACAAAGACAACAGGAGCCATTGGCACACATGCACTTGTGAACAAAATGGTGCTGAATTTGATGAGGAAGAGCGAAACATTACAATAAATACACAAGAACAACTGCAGACTGGCTGGAGAAGAAGAACTGAGTCAGCTCTTAAAGTGGACTGTGTTCGCTTTCTTCCATTCAATATATTTCTTTCCTCCTCTGCCTCAGACTTTCTCTCCCCACTGTCTTCCACATACGCTTGCAGGCAAACAAAAGAGGACATGTAAACACACACACACACACACACACACACACACACACACACACATACATAGGTATATACACCCACTGACACACACACACACACACACACACTACATTGCACAATGTGCACTCACTTCCTCTGTTGACACTGGAGGACGTTTTAGCTCGTCCTTTCAGTGCTCTGATTCTCATGAGTTCCAGTTATTCAACTGTCACACACAAACACACACACACAAACACACGTGCACACAGAAGTCTGGGGGTCAAAGGGCATGGCATGTGCCAAAGTTTTGGAAGAACACATTTCAAATAGGTTAAAAACACTCTTACAAGACGATGCTTTTTTTTCACAAAAGGAAAATTAAAAAAAACAAAAAAACAAAGCTACAACACTTCTGTCTCTCCCCTGTGTTGTTTACACATGATGATTATAGCTGCACAGTTTTCAGTTGAAAAGTCACAAATATCATATATGTATATATATAATATCACTTTAGTGCCCGCCAACATGGCTGAAAATGGTGTGTTTCGAGTCAGGCGGTGGAACTGGTGCGTGGAATCTTTACACGTGGAAAAAAAACAGGGTGCAGGCATGAGTGGCGTTCCTGCTTTCTCCCTTGGAGTTCCCAAACAGGCGCCTCTTTTTAGCCACGCCCCTATGCCACACATTATCTGTTGAGAGACTGTGTACATGTGTGCGTGTGTGAGCATAGGAAGCTGCTCGAAGTGTTGATAGGAGCTCAGTAAGGTGTCTGTGGACGGACAGTCAAACACATCACGACCCCCGTAGGTGCAGGAGCATTTGTATGGGAGGCGAAGGGCTAGTTGTTCTCGAAGAGGGAGAGAAGGTCGTCATTGCTGTTGGCGGGAAGGTCGGGGGGGTCAAGGTATGATAGTAACTCGTCTGGGTTGGCCAGCTCCGGAAGCAACTGCGGATAAAAGGCAGAAAGAAATGATCAGAGGCAAGGCTAAATAACCTGATAATATATTTATCTTTGTGATGCCGGATGACTTTGAGTCATGCTCAAGTGTCTTGTCGAAGCAAGTGTACACATAAACAAAGCTACCACTGCTCAGAAGCAATTTGAAAGTCAGACACAAACAGAGCACACAGCAAAGAGATGAGGGCAGCTGCAGCAGACAATGTTAGCTGTAAACAGGTAGCTTATGGTGCCCAAAAGTGGGCACACTTACATCCAGGGAGGGTTCAGGCATATCCTGGGCTCCCTGACCCATCTGCCCGTCTGAGGAGGAGGGGTTAAAGTTCAGATCGCTGTGGGGGTGACTGTTCTGCCCAGGCTGCTGAGGCTGCGGCTGAGGCTGCGACTGGCGAGGCGGCTGCGATGATTGGCCGCTGTGGTGCAAGGGTGGCCCTGACTGGCCACTGTGATGTAAGGGCAGCCCTGTTTGGCTGCCAGGGTGGGGAGACGCATGCAAGATCTGCTGCATGGAGTTATGGGACTGATCGGGATGGGACATCTGCAGGTGCAAGAGGGAGACAGAGAGCCAGAGAGTGTGAAAAATAAAGAGCAGGACATAGAGAGAGAGACACACAGAGAGAGTGAAGGGGAGAGTGTTAAGGGGCGGGGAGGGGGGTTGCGTGGGAAGAAAGAGAGGAAAAGCGAAATGAGTTCCAGCGTGAATAATATGGAACAGACCTTCTAAATGGAAGCTGTGATCAGCAGACATGTACAGCTGCAACATTATACGATGACATAAGCATGTGAGCATGACTGAGCACACATGCTGGCCAGAGGCACAGGCTGCACCTTGTTCAGATATTTCAGAGTGGCACAGATTGTCTGGAGATTTTCTTCTATAAATTAAGGTACCAAAATATGCCACAGGACAAAATAACTAATTAAGATCCTTAAAGCTTAAAAGCCAGACCAAACCATTTTCTATTCCTATAAACATACTTTATTGGTACAGTGGCATGGGAAGTCGACCCTACTTACTGCATCATTCATGCCGTGGTTAAGGGGCTTGTCCTGGGAGAGGAGACCACCGGGTCCATCTGGGGGGTGGGAGAGTTGGGGGCCATGGATGAAGTCACTCATAGGGGGTCCTCCTCCACCTCCTCCTCCACCAAGCCCACCACCGGAGGGGTTCCCGTGAGGGAAGTCGAAGTTCCCTTGGCTGTGGTAACTGTTTCCTTGAAGGACAAAAGAATGAAACACGTTTTTGTCAAGAGGCTAACAGCAGTCTGGCCTTGTTAACTTGTCCAATGAGTCCTTACTGATGCAAAAAGTTATCACATTGTACATTGTACATTTTACTGTTATCAGAACAATGAGCTTAGAACATTTTAAAACAGGTTCAGCATAAAGCTCTGCTTGGGGCTGTTTCTTTGTTTAATGCACTAGAGACACTTCAGTAGTTCCTGCTATAAAATGAAAAACAGCTCACTTTTCAACAACTAAGCTGACTATCCTGTTCTGTATCTACACAGCAGGATCCTGGCTGCTTTTCCTTACCTGCCCCAGGGTAATCTCCCCCGTTGCCACTAGCATGATGACCAGGGTGTGGGGGGTAGGGGCTGGGACCTGCTCCATGGCCAGGTCCAGATCCTGGGCCAGGTCCAGGCCCTAGCTGGGCGATCATGTCCATCACATTGGGCATGGTCATCTGACTGGGGCTCATGGTCTTAAAGCGCTTGGCAAGTGGTCCGTCAGGGTCTTCTTTGATGTGTACCTCAGACTTAATGGGGACAGGTCTCCAGCTACACGTAGGGTCTATAGTGACCTCCTCAAACTCTGAACTATTAAAGTAGAAAGTGTGTGTTTAATTTTTAAACAATGGAGTCAAAGTTATTTGCGGATTTAGCAGAAGAAAGAAGAAAAAAACAACTTACTTTTGAATGGCATTGAGGATTCCCCACATGTACTGGTCCACCTCCAGGCCTTCTAATAATGCTGTTTTACTGAAAGGAGAAAAAAATCATTAGATTCAATCTATTAGACGTACTCTTGAAGAGTGATCTAAACCTTACGTCCCCGTAAAGAAGAAGAAGAAGATATACTTTATTAATCCCCTAGGGGAAATTGTTCAAAACAAACAACCTTTTACTTACTTGCACACAGGACACCTCCATGTCCCCCTTTCACAATTGAGCTGTAAGTACGACTCTAGATCGAAGCACTGTGGAGAACAATATCACAGTTCATTAGAAAAATCTTCTCCCATTCACTGGGACATGTGACATTAACAATAAAGTTTTACCACCTCTTTAAATCGGAACAAACCTGGACATGTTTGCAGTCATGACCTCGTGCGGGTAGCTGGATGCGTCGGAAGGTAATGGGACATTTCAGCGACACTTTAATGGCCGTCTGCTCCACGCCGTCTTCCCCGTTAAGAGTGGTGTTGCCTGCAGAGGCCGCCACACTGCTGAAGTTCCTCTTAACTGAAGAGACAAGGCGTTTCAGAGGAAAGGTATTACTTTGAACAGTTGCATGCGTACTTAAAGGCCCATTTTAAAGCAAACCATAAGGAGAAACAGGTGTAAGCTTGTGTAATTAAGATGTTCTTATGCATAACTACACTAAGAGACAAAATGAGCCATACTCTTGGTGATGCAGTGTTCTGCAGGAAGGAGCCTTTTCTTCAGGAGCCCCTGGAGGACGGATCGCACAGATGGCCTGTGGACCAGCTGCAGCACAAACAGGTGGGACTGCAAAGCAACACAAGAACATTAACACAAACAGAAAATAAACGGAAAGTCGATTTAGCACAACGCATATACTAAGTTAAATTATCTGTGTGATAATCATCTCAGCTGATCTTTCTGCTGAAAAAATAATTACATTTCTGCACTATTTGTAGTTAGAAATATGTGTCTACTCACACAACAGCAGGCGGTGACTGTAATCTGGATGGTGTTTCTTCCAGGTTGGCATACATGCTTCAGGTGCAGCGGTTTGTGGGAAGTTTTGTTGTCCCCCCTCTCGATGGTGAGGGGCGTAGCATTCACGCTGACCTGGACGGAGGCGGGCCAGTTGGTGTTCATCTGCCTGTCTTCGTGGTGGTAGCACTTAAACTGCAGCTCAAGGTCTGACCTGTTAATTAGGATGAGCCAGCTGTTTCAAATCTAGTCAGAATAATTCCCTCTATATGAAATTTATGACAAACATGCAAAGTTTCATAATTATGTTACAATTGTGGTGTGGACTGTATGCAAACATAGTGGAAGTGGGGGCTTGTGCGGTGGTCCTACCTCCACATGAGGGTCTGGTGGACGGAAGGTCGCAGGTGGAAGACGTGGTTACTGACAGCCAGGTTGTGCTCCAATCGGAACGGCTCCAGCACCACTCCATCTCTGACAGGGAACGTCAGCCGCAGCTCCTCATTGGGGTTAGCTGAGAAGAAAAGCAGAGGGGGTCGACTTTTAATCTAAAACTGATAAAGTCCTGCAATGCATTAGATTAAATAAAAGAGCTGGGGTACTCACTCGGAGGGGGCGGTAGTGCTGTCATATTTGGTTTCATGTCAGGTGGAAACGGGGGCTTCACATCCTGGTTTGGCGACAGGTACGGAGGAATACCACTTCCCGGGGTCATAGGAGGTGTGGGGTTTCCAGGGACCGGGGAGTGGGGGTAGGTACCGGGCCTGGGGGGCTGTAAAAGGCAGGAAAGTATAATAATGAAAACATCTGTGTAACTCATTTAACATACATGACTGGGTCAAATTTACCACAAAGATCCTGCTGAAAACATACCCCATTGCCTTGGCCGTAGGAGTATCCACCTCCAGAGAAGTTGGTGCTCTGACCATTGAAGGGCTCTTGCTGTAAAGGAAATAAAAAGCAATAATAATTGTATATAGTTCTTGATAGCAATAGCACCAGGCATACACCATGTGGTTTGTTGAATGTGCTATATATATATATCTTGTAATCTGTCTGTCTAAGTCTAGTGCACGTTGGGATAGGCTTTGCTGCCCCTACGTAGGAATAAGTTGTTGTAGAAAATTGAGATATGTATGAATGGTGTGGCATAACAGACCTTGTAGTACTGGCCCATGGGCATGCCAGGTGGGTACTGTCCTTGGCCCTGCTGCCCTGGCATCCTCTGGCCGGGGTAATTAGGAGATGGCAGCGGCCTGGAGGCATTCGATGTGGGGTACTGGCCCTGCTGTGGTGGGAACTGACTGTTTGGCCCGTACTGCTGACCCCCGTAACTTGCCTGTGGAAAGAAAGTTAAAGATAAAGACATCAAACGTTGAAACTGAGGGAGAGGTTGAGGTCTAGTTATCTCCATAAAACACCTAAAGTTCTATAATAATAAATTCAAAACAAAAATGAATATAAATCTCAACAGATATGCTGTCAATGGTAGAATGAACAGGTAGCTGAGGTATTCTGGTGCAGCATCTGCTATACGCTTTCATGCGAATTAGTGGCAAAATGGAAAACTGTAATAAACCTCGGATTTCGGTTTGGATTTTACTTTTAAACCTGGAATTTGTAAGTCATAGCTTTCTGGTCTGATGTTCAGAAACCTCAGCACATTATTTACCATCAGTTCCACAGCAGCTCTCTCAAATCAGAGATGAAACACACGTATCACTCCAGCTGCTGTGTGATGACTACAGGTGTGTCAACTGCACAGGAAAGATCTGACATTCTACAAGTTGTTGTGGGAAACTGACTCATCAAACAGAACAGATCAGTTTTTATGAAACTCCGGCTCATGTGGGTGATATCACTGGCACGAATCTTACTCGCTCACATCAAAAAACGTATTTTGATGCACATATTGATCTGTAGTAGATGAAAGAAAGCGTAGCAAACGGAATGAGGAAAAACTTACATGAAAGATGTGAAAAGTAAGAGAGATACAAAGGGGTCTGGTCTAGACTTTAAATAAATTTAATAAAACTGTGTAACCCATAATCTCCAGATTGTTTTAATTATTGGATCTTTCCGCTCACCTCTCCAGGATATGGCCTTTTCATCCCTTGCATGGGTATGCCCTGTCGAGGTCCACCAGGGTACCCTTGCTGAGGCATCCTTTGGCCGTGAGCTCCAAAAGGCCCCATGCCTGGGGTTCGAGGCTGGTTCATGCCCATGGGAGGCCCACTCATATTAGGGTTGTTCATGGCTGATCCCATGCTGGCTGGATTCATACCTCCAGGGGGGCCTCGTGGGCCAGGCTGGTTCATGAACTGGCTATTGTAGGCCTGAGTGGGGCCCATTTGGAACGATGAACACATCTGGAGGTACAACAGGAGGTTTCAGTGTTAAATATGATTATTTTGGATTTCCAGCAGGTGGGTGGATAATAGGTTCCTGTGTATATTTGTTTATCTATTTTGGTAAGTGGTTACAGCTGTAAACATCTGTTAGCAGGTGTGTACTGTACCTGTCCATATTGGTTCATATCTTTATTCTGGGTTTCCTGCAGAGCTGCCACCGTGGCTGTTGCCGTGGCCGTTGCTGTAGCAGCAGCGGCAGCGACAGCAGCAGCTGCAGCAGCGGCGGCTGGCTGGGTGAAGTCACCAGGGGGACGTGAGTGGGAGGTCATTCCCATACCTCCTGGAGGGGCATTTGGGCCTCCAGAATAACTGTAAAAAAAACACAGAGCACATGTTTTAATCATTATGTTACATTTTATTGCTTCATTTTTTTTTTAAAAGAGAGTCGCTCTCTTACCTCCCGCTGTATCCCCCAGGACCTCCAGGGTAGCCAGGCCTTCCGTACATGCCCTGCTGCATGTACTGTTGGTTGGAGCCTCCTTTGTTTGGAAACTGTTGCTGCTGAGCATTGAACTGGGGTGAGTTGAGCCCTGCTGCACTGGCAGACATACCTGATCCCATAGGGTTACCTCCAGGATTCATAGGGTTATTGCTATTTGCCATTGGGTTACCTAGCACCTGGGTTTAATAAAGCGTGACACAGGGAGATAACATATCCATTAGGTTTGTCAATGAAACAAAGGAGATCAACCTTCTGAGTCAAGTATTGATTGTGTGTTAGAGCTTATATAATGACAGACTGAATGCTGTTCATGCATGGACATACCTGACTTTGTGACGTATTGGTCACACCCCACACTGTTGTAACCACAGACAATGACCCAGGGGGCTGGTTGGTGTTTTGTTGCCAGGGGACAGAGTCATAGGGAAAGGATCCATCACTGGAAAGTAGATCAAAACAGAACATGTGCCTGATGTCACTTGAAGTTTCAATTGGCCAAGAAAAGTACCAATAGAAAGCCAACAGAGTTGAATATCAGTCCAAAAATGTGAATAATTTGGGAATTCTTCTTGCCAAAATGTTAGGCAATTTGAAGGATTTGGCATTCAATTTCAAAACACGTTTTCAGCCAGGACATGTGCTAATGGCTGCACAGTGAGCTGAGTAAAAAGCTCCAAATGAGCCGACAAGGGGTTGCATGCCCACACACACCACTAAAAACTAAATATGATTCAATTATTTCTTTGAGTTGTTGAAATGCCTTTGGATATGGATAGGTAGAGAGCAGTTGGAATGTTTAACATTTAGATTTAAAACAAATATCAAGGCAAAATATGAGAGTCTGTTACATATAATAAACAAGCTAAATCCTCATGGGGAGAGGCAAGTGGCCAGTGGAGTGGGAAGGAACTGCTGTTTTTGGAGAGCAGCTTGTTTTCGCTCAGAGGTTAGCTCTTGGAATGGACGACGTGTTCAATATTTCCTCATAAAGGCACAACATTATCCCAAGATCCTCAGCAGAGGCAAACAGGACTCTTGGCTAACTAGAGGCTTTCTTAGAGAGAGAGGGGGAGAGAGAGAGAGAGAGAGAGAGAGACATGAGCACACAATGTTCTCCAAAGACATTACTTCACAGCTCTCTTCCCTGCCGGTTTGTCACTCCACCCCAAATCACTTCGGCTCCACTCAAAGTAATTCTGGCTCAACTCCAAACAATGGGAATCTTGTGTGCATTGGTGTGTGCGCATTACATAAGCACTGAATGTAAGATAATACCTTAATAAAGACCAGAGCCACTGAATGCTGTCTCTTAAAGATACTAAAGTGAACCTTAGTAATGGTTACTGAATTAGTTTGGTGGTATAATTTAAGAGAATGCATCTAAAAATGGGAAAAGCAGAGAAAAGGGGACATCAAAAGCTACCTTGAAAAACTCCCGTGAAAATAATGGCAGGTACCAATTTGTCAGTTTTGGTACCTCTACCACTTAGTCTGTCACAGAAAATTCTAAATCTTTAATTACATGCAACCATATAATTTTCTTTTCTTTCTCTATTTCTTTTGTTTATATCTCTCTACATCTTCCTTGATACATACACCTCCCCACTTACCCACATCACCCATCAACACTCACACCACCAACACAACACTTCATCTAATTTGTTGTGCTTTAGTGACTGTTATTGTCATCGTATACATGTTGTGTTAACCTGTTTAATCACCTGTTGTGTGATGCTTAAAATAAAATAAAAATGCCTGCATTGTAACACTGTGTACCATTTTTGGTAGAACGCATATGTTTGAATCTAAAAGCAGAGTGGATGGACACAAAGAGGAACTCCTCTGTAGGCTGTAGCTAGTTGAGATCCAAAATTAAAGCATTGAAAACTATGGAAAAACCTTTATTAACACTATATATGTGGGTTTTTAAGTCAAGAAGTTTGTGTTGCTGAATAAAAGAAGTTGCATGTCAGCTGTCTGTTTGCACTGTGATTTTGTATTGATGTCTATCAAAGGGCTTAAGTCAGATTGACAGAGTTAACCCCACTGTTGGCTTCTTTAACAGACAGGTGACAGAGGGCACCCATGTCTCACTCACTCACTCACTCACTCACTCACAGTATCTATAGCTGGTGGTATTAAATAAACTAGTGCAATGTCAAGGTTTTTTTCCTTTGGATATTATGTATGCGTGGGACGGATGTAGGCTGGGGCTCATGTTGGTGTGTGCGGTGGGTCTTTGTGAGCACATCACTGATTTGTGTTGAAAATAATCATAAAACTAGTATTGGATGTATCTGATGTATTCTACATTGAAGTTATTTAAATGCAAGTGACTCATATCTTCCAGTTCACAGCTGCCCTTCGCTGATTTTATGGAGCATAGTTTCATTTGCCCTTCATACTAATCTTTTTTGCTTTTTTTTTGGTTATATGGTGACCCCGGGCCAAAAAAAAGCTTCAACTTGCAAGGTAGAAAAACAGTACCCTTGTACTGAAAATCTGGGGTTCACTGCAAGATAAGCACAGTCTTCATTCATCTGACAGGAGATGTGTCAGAGACTCCCCACTGACCTGTGTGTGAGGCCGGGCTTCATGCTGTTCATGCTGGGCTGCATGGGGACTTTTCCCTGCGGTTCGTTCTGCCTGTTCTTCTGGTGACGCAGCAGGAGGAGACGACCCAGCTCCTCGCACCACGACGACAGCAGGGCTGCAAGGAGAAAAACACACAGACACACACATATGCACATGCATTAGTCTCCCCTCAGCACTCAAACACACATACACACACACACGTTTGTCTGCATGGGTCTGCGCTGTGTATTCATGCAGCTTCAAGTGCATGTTTAAGGTTCTATGTGTGAATGATCAAATGGGAAAATAAAGATTTTCATCTTAGACTACACTTATAACATACTTTTTCAACCTCAGATGAATAGATTTAGATCTCTCAACAGTGCTGTATACTAAATTGCATGCTTGTGTCCTGAGCCTGGATCGCTAAAGCCTCCAGGGGGCAGCCTAACTCAAAGAACCTACATCGATTATTTGCCTGTGTGGATTTCAACACAGTTACATCACACCATCTCTACCTGCAGAGTAAAATATAAACTGAAATCGTTGTACAGCACCAAGGACCTCCCAGTTTTTCTGCCACAGAGAGGGAGAGGCTGAAATGGAGCGTGGGAGCCAGACAGAGACAGAGTGATCAGGGTTACAGATATGATCTATGTAGGAAGGGAGAAATGGTGATATCTTTACTCTCCTCCACTTTCTTCATCACCACAACTCGGTTCTTCTCCACATTTTCCATGTCCCCGCAAAGGACTAATCATACTGTGCAGCATTCTTATCCTCCTCATGAAGACAAGAGTTGAGATATTTTATGTCGTGCCAATTTTATTTTATTTTCACCAATGCCAATCAACTTGTCTTTCTTGAATCAATCATCAGTCTTGTGTGGCTTATTTAAACACACTGCCTCTTGATTGTAGAAAGTTGTCTTGACAAACAAACAAAGGAAAGATTACTGTGTTCAGTACCTAATTGAATAATTTAAGATGCTATTTTTAGCCTTGTAGACCCAGATACACCAGCTTTCAGGAAGTGCTGTTACCAGGGTTGGCGTTTCAAGAATGTAGAGTTTTTGAAAATGTTGGTACCCTGAAGAAAGATAATTGGCATGGCATTATGAAGCTTCACAAGGCCACAAACACACAAATGTCTTCTAAATGAAATGAAAATTAAAAACACATTGTGGTAAATGGAAAGAAATTAAGCAATTGGTGTGATTTTGAAATATAAACCCTTTTTTTTTTAGCAGTCTATAGTGAGCTGCGCCATCCGTGACCTTACAATATACCAAATCTATATTGCTTGAGCTAATAATGTATAATATCTGATCCGACAAGATACTATTTACAAAGACAAACAAAAAAGGGATAGGAGAGAGGGGAAGAATAAAAAAAAAGAGGAAAGGAATGAAGAACAAAGCAGAGGAGCAGTAACATTTTCTTCTGGAGGGTGGAGAGAGCCAAGCCTCCTAGTTAAAGAGGAATTATTCCACCCTGCCATTACAGAGAGCTTATCTCCCCACTAAATCACCACCTCCACACCGAGGGACTGTCTCTTCAACTGGCAACCCACCATTTAGACCTAAAGATCAGCTTCAAGCACAAGTGATGGAGTCGCTCTAAGAGTGAGAGAGAACTACAGAGAGGCAGAGGAGAAAAGAGAGTGGTGGTGACTTATCATATCAGTGTGGCTACGAGCGACCAAATCTAACAAGCGGCCAAGGCCAGAAGTCAGTCATAATAGAGTGAGGGTCCGCTCGGAGCGACGTGCATATTTTAGCAAGCTTAGTGCAGTGTACATGACCTTGTTTTCACCTCACTGTCAGCCTGTGTTAAAACCCTCTGCCAACACCATCACACACCCACAACTACCACACGCTATATCTCTTTACTCTGCATTAAATGGCGTTCTCCATACTGCCCACACCCACATTCCTCTCAGTCATTTTTTACATTTTCTGTTGACAACTGTTCCATTGTGATCCATCTGTCTAAGCTATTATTAATTAAGGTGTTTTGTTAACTTCGCTGATAGAGTACAAGAGGATCTGATGCCAAGAGCACAGCCAACAAACAACGTGAGAATATAAAGGCAAAGTCTGTCTCGTTTTTCCTATTCCCATTTCATTTACACTCAATCCACATAGTTGAACCACGCACTTGCTACTGAGGGCTCTAATAGCTGAAGCTGAGATGAGCCAAGGCAAACTGCTTGAAAGCTTTCTGTTAAAAACGTATTTCCTCTATCTACCCTCTATCTTTACATCAGTGGCTTCCACAGTCATAGATCAGCCCCAGAGTGTTTATTAAAACTATGCAGAAAGTAAAAAACGCAGGTGAACTAAGTGTTACATGATACATGATGCTAAGTTGAATCACTGTAAACCAAAATGCTGAGAGTTTCTATCACAACATTGACTAACAACATCCTAAAATAATGACTTTGCTTCGTGAGGAGCAAACTGTGCGACAGGTGAGGTTAAAGACAGAAAATGGTTCTAGTTTTTCCTCCTCACACAAAGCGAAATGAACTCTGCATGTAATATGAATATTAAATGGCGAGCTTAGCCTAGCTTTGCCCAAACACTGGTTATCTGGAGGATCGAGTAGCAGCTCTGCCGAACGTCAGTGCTATTTGATAATGCGTTGACATGACAGTTAACAGTTGAGTAAGAAAGTAGAGAGACGTAGCTTCAGAGTGTCACATCAGGCTTATCAGGAGCTGGCAGTGCTGCCTGAGGGCGCCTTCTTGGGTTTGTTGGTCTAATATTGACAATGTTTTCATCCTGATTACATACGAAATAACACGAACGATAACACTGTAGTTTTGAAACCTGCCTGTAGGAGCCTGTGAAGAGGAATCAGTTGGCTTCATCTGGTATTTTGTTTCTTTGTTAATAACAATCGTGTCTGTCTAAAAATGGAAATTACATCACAGTTTACTTAGACATGCCATCCCTCGTCGGAGATGTTTAAAGGTGTACTTCCATACCTTTGAGAGAAGCTGCTGCTGATCCCGGTAATTGAGTTTATCTAGGCTAATCTCACCATTCATGCCTTTAAACATCAAGCAGAGCTATCAAAATGCATCCATGACTGCTTAAGAAGCATTTCCAATTATGCCTTTAAATACACAACTACTGCTCTGGGTGACACTCAAGGCTTATTCTGAAGCTGCTGTGTCATGTTCAGGTGTTTTTATTGGATTCTCTGTTACCATGACACAGAGACCTCTCACTAACAAGTGACCTGTTCTGTCCTCTACCAGCAGAGAGAGCAGAACATAAGCTGATTTTTCAGGAAACTCTCCTGACCCCCTGCGAACAGCTCCATTTCTTAGAAGCTGCAGCTTTTAATTGAGTAATGCCCAGAGACATATGGACCCTCCTTACTCAGGCTGTATTTAATGCTGTATGGGTGACTGATAGCAGGAGCCCCGGCTCATTCTAACCTCACCTCTCAGCCCCTCTGGGAGCAGCAGGGAGGGAGAGTAAGCCCTGGTAACAGGCTGCAAGGCCCATTAACTAATGACAGAGTATGTGTACAAGTCCTCTTTTACAAGGAAACCCCAATGCTAATTACTATGAACTCTCATAGTGCTGTGTGTGTGTGTGTGTGTGTGTGTGTGTGTGTGTGTGTGTGTGTGTGTGTGTGTGTGTGTGTGTGTGTGTGCAAGCATTCGTGTGTATCTGTGTGCGGTAAAAGCCTTCGAGGATATAATTTTGCCGGTTAAATCACGACAGATTGCTAACTATCGGATTCTAGGACACTTTAAATGTGTGCACCCCACATTACCGATGAACACCTGACATGATTTAAATGTGAATCCCTAGATACACCACATGTATGCAATAGGCACATCAAGTTTGGGAAGGCGACTGAGATACCCTCACCTCTCCATGAACTGATGTACTGTTTAGCAAGGCAGTTAACACTCAACTCGTTCAGCAGCTTTAGCCTGTGCAGTGGAGGGGAGCAAGCTAAAATGGCCTAATTTTGAGGCAGCGCATGTCAAATGCTAGTGATGAAGTGAACTTCCACCCACTGAAATGGGTATTTCAATGGGTGCAAAAAGGTTTTATTCTTTCCTGCATCCAATCAGTAATTCTGTAGCTCATGACATCCTCTGATTTATAAGGGCAGTAGAGCTCACCAAGCATGGAGAACATTTTGGAGGGAAAAAACAGCCCATGTCTCAATGCAAACGCTAGTATTCGAGTCTATTTTTACAACTTTGGCTGGTAAAGCTGCACAGGCACTCCAACATGGCATAAACACATTTTAAGTATTCTACCACCAACTAAGTGTGACACAGATCACTTAAATATGACAAAGTGTGGGAAAAAAACAACACTTTAGGTGTAAAGTAAAATTATATGTATGTGTAAATGGGTGTTATGGTATATTTACATATATGTGACAATTAAGCAGGCAAAGGTGGTGTCTAGTGTTGTGCTGGGTAACACCATCTCACTATGTTGTTCATTGTTCATTTTTTTAAACAATGTCTATCAGCAGAGGTGTCCCCCCCCAAAACTTTTTTTTTTTCCAAATTCTTCATAGCATAATACGGAGAGACTGCAGCAACTGTGTATTAAAAAGCCCTCTGTGCTTTCTCAAAATCAATTATAGCTATGAGTTTGTTTCCCCAAAGCAAACACAAAAAAAGGTAGCACCCTAGTGGTAATACAATAAAAAGAATCAGCTCATGTCTTGATCTTTTTGGTGAATTTTAACTATTTGACTGACAAAACTTCTAATGAGTTTTGGCGTCAAGTTTTCAAAGCCTTCATCACAGTGCCCTGGAGTGCAACTTTCATCCTGAATTTGTTTTGGGGAAATAAAACAAAATTGTTTCAAGGTTTGTTGTTTGTAAGGTTTTTTTTTGGCTGCACTGCACCCCACTGAAATTTAGTGCAGGAAAAATGTGTATCAGTGTTATCAGTGATATGTCACTGATATGATCTCATGTAGCAGCTGCACGACTTTGCTCCTTTGTTCATTCTTAAAGTCATGTTTTAGGTGCTACATCCAAGAAACCTGTTGTAAAGGAGATGTTACATGAGACTGTTGCAGCTTCCTTTGTTTGGATGATAATACAAAGCAAGGATTGGTGGCAATTAATGGCACTGAAGAAGTTTTCTAAGTTGAGAAATAAGATGTTTCTTATAGATGCATGAATGACTACATTCACCAAAACCCTGTGCGTGCTGCCAAGGACTACACTAGGAGGCTCAGTTATACAGCCAGCTACGTTGGTTTGCACCAGAAAGGTTTGTGTAGTATTCTGCAAGAGCATTCTGCTAATTGTGCAAGATTTAATCAGTCTAAATATATTAGATCAATCTTGAGATGGAATGCACATCCCTGCCCTCAGACTGTACATCCTCACATCATCTCTGGTTCTGAAATTACCAAAACTCTGGGTATCAATATGCTAAATTCTGATTACCAACACTGGTCAAGCCAGGCTTTGATAGAGACATATAATACCGTGCATGCAGCCCTTCTATAATTTTTTTTGAACAACACAGACAAAGGAGGAAATACTACATGACAAATTACACTTTCTGAGCATGAACACTGCAGCACTAGACAGAAGCCTTCTGAGACAATGTGTGGGATGATAAAAAAGAAGCAATTTATAATTGATATCATAGGCAGAAGTCTGCAAAACACTGGCAGGTAGGTCTATGCTGTGTGGGTACAAAATATTATGCAAAATACAAATATGGAGGGGATATAAAATCCTGCGGAGAAAAAAAAATAAAGTCATGCTTTTTGCAGAAGTGTAATGGAAGCCATTTAAGCAGTCAATGATATCCCCCATCCTGCCCCCTCTCTGTTCAGCCAACTTCTTCCAAGAGAAGAGCATATCAAATGGGCTTTAGTCTCAACAGCTTGGAGGCAGAAGAACTCAAACATGCCCTGCAGAGAGACAGCTCTGTGTCAGAAATCACACTCAACCAAAACCAGGCCTTTAATGTAACTAACTGTTCGCACGTATTTGAATATTCCAAATCTGAAACGGCCTCTAACTTAAAATGTGTTTTTTTTTGTGTCTTTTTTTTATTTATTTAATTAACTTTTTTTATTTTCCATGATTTTGTTTTGCTCATTTGCATTGGTAAAACAATGCAGTTTTCTTATCTGGCTGGTTTGACAGAATTTCATCCACGACCTCTGGCAGTACACCAGACATGAGGATAGAAGGGGGGAGAGGATGGATGGAAGGATGCTAGACAGAGGACAGGTGGAGATGGAGGGAGTGGGCAGATCCCCTCCTCCCCAGGATGTGTGTGGGTCACAAGCCAAAGAGATGCTGCAGCCCAGAAGGGAGGATAGCTCTACCTGAGTCACTCTGACATCTCCTGCAGGTGCTGGTTTCTGTGGGGTTCAAATTACACATTTTTAAACGGGGCAGAGTTATCAGAATCAGCATGAACACCAAACATAATGCAGTATGACGACTAGATCTGGCTAAAGGTGCGAAATGTTGGAGTTCGGGTGGGAAATGTGGGCTCTCCATGTCGCATGTGGCCACAAAACAAAACAACAAACAGTCTGTTACATTGAATGTATTGCGGGGCGTGTCTAGTTATTAAACTGAGCTTGATTGAGACTTCCTGCAAAGATTAACATTTTCTACTGTAGCATAGTATTTTTAGGTCAGATACCCTCAATTTTTATATACAACTAGTTAGGGACTCCTTGCACTAGAATGCAAAGCTCATATCCTTTGTGTATTACTTGATGTCCATTTTCAAATTCATTTAGAAAAGGAATGAGTTATCGGTAACGTTTTGCCAAATCGATTTATAATCCCAAAGCACACTTACACCCTAAACTACTCTTACCCTGTACACCCTGTTCCCTACAAACTCTCCTGACATTAGTGCCGCAGCTAACAAATATTTTCTTTATCGATCAATCTGATGATTATTTTCTCAATTAATCAAAAACAAATCAAAATAGTTGCTGATTAACTTTCTTTTGCCTAATCGCTGCCACTCTACCTAATGAGGTATTTTTTTTGTATCCTGTGCGTGGAGTGACATAACAGACCACATCAGTTACACGGCACTACAGGTTTGCTTTGGGTACATTTGTTATGACAGGGGTTACAGCATTGACCTGTGGATCTGACCTACATCCTCGCTGGGATATGAAATTCAGGTGGCCGGTGTATCTGCGTCACATGCTCGGTGAGTCAGCACGTCCTGCTTACAGCACTAAGCCTGGGGGTCACGACCTTCCACATCTGTATCAGAGAACTGTCACAACACTCACGATGATCCTACATATGATCACACACCCATTATCCACATCTGAGTCACACAGTAAATATATGCACAGTTGCACTCAAAGGCATAAAAGTATACAGGGAAATACACATTGGCACACAGGTATGTGGACACAAGCATACGTACAAAAACAGAAAGAAAAAAAAGTAAATATGGAAACTGAAGTCTGTGTTGGTGTGTAAACAAACACAGTCAGTGTCTGGGCTTTGTGAAGATGTGCTTATATAGTAAAGCGCCTCAAACACGGCTAGGAAGAGCATCCGAGAACAGCGAGCTGTGAATGAACTGCTCTTATCAGCCATGCACAGCTCCCCACCACTGGAGGGGAACTAGTAAATATCACATGCCTAATAATAACCAGACACACTACTCTTCCAAACTTCCACAATATGACTGTTGTTCCTCCAATGAAATCATTAGGGTGAAAAAAACGCAATCAAGAATTCTGAGATTTCCTTCCGGCTGCTGTTTCATAATATAAGACTGTGATTAAAAAGTGATGAGATTCCAGTGGTGCCGCTTTTACAGGTGAATTAGTAAAGGAAGAATCGGCCATGAGAAGAAGTCAACACACCTTGACTGAAGCGCTGAATAAATATAGGAGCGATTAACAAGAAGTGTTCCATGCAAGAATTCTGCATTGCCTGGGGTGCTGAGAGCTCCACCCTCACTCCTATCAATACTTGCCATCAGTTGGTCCTACCAGAAATTCCTTTCTCAATTCTCAACAACTTTACTTGGACATTTGCTTTCAGCGCTAGGAGGGAGGGATGTCAAGCATGGCAATGATTCACAGAAAGAGCAGAAACAAACTGCAAAAACAAACCGTAGGCCGCACACATACAGTTCAAAGTCAAATGTCATGAATGAGTCACTAAACAGCCTGATGGGAAGTGCTCAGAGTGCAGTCAAAGGAGGTCAAAGTGTGTAGCATAAGCGATACAAACAAAGGAGGAAGGCGAGAGGGGGAGAGCTGCTGCATGTGACTGAGGTTGAGGATGCAGACGGTTTCAGTAGTTTACACCCTGCTCAGGCTAACAGGAAGTGCTGCAGCTCCATGGCGGCTATCTGGAAGTCGTGTTGTGTTGTAGTATTGTCTACATAGGTCAGTGGAAGATTGTGTTATTGTCTGCACGAGCCGTTTGCTAATTAAGTTGTCAGTTTTAAGGTTAGATCAAACACTGATTGAATAGCCTGCAGCATCATGTCGTTTTTATTGCCTGGCTGCCCTTTACTCCTTCACGTGAAGAAAGTGTTGTTTCCCTTTATGAGACATCTGACAATAAGAGGTACATTAAGTACTTCTAAAACACAATTGAAAGACTAAAACAAAAAAAATGTCCTTCCATGACTACACTCCCCCCTCCTCCACTTCCTTCTTTCCTAACGAGTGGACAGGCAGACAGGCTCTGGCTCCGAGCACAGGTCAACAACTTAAAAAAGAACCCACAGTGGAAAAGTGGGCCATCTTCTCCTGACATAGAAACACATACACTTGCACTCTTCACACCAACATGGATAAGTGCTCCTGTAGGTGCCTTAAACTGGAAGTTGTTCAGTGTATGATGCTGTCTATAGTCACCACAACTCACATTGTCTTTATTCTATACATCAAGGACGACAATGGAAATGAATTTTTGAATTTGCATATATCAGCAAATTAATTTATTTGCATGTTTGTTCTAAGTAAAGAATTATTGTGAAATCAAATCTAATTTCTCTTACCAGAAGCATGACCTACAGTCCCCTTCAGAATAACCCAAACCCACCATAAACCCCAAACTTAACTTTCTCATGCCCAGCCTTGATACAAGACATGAAGAATAAAACATAACCACAACCGTATCCCTAAAGAACAGAAATAAGCCAATACATCGCCAATGTCAATGTATGCTTGTGCACACAGACAAAAACCCACTCAGAGTAACCCCATGACAGAACAGCATGTAGGTCAACCTGTGGTCAGCTGATCTGTCCTGATCCTGTCTAGTGTGAGCGGCCAGTGCTTTAGACTACAGTCACTCTGGCACACCAGACAAGATAGAAGCCCATATTATTCATGGCCTAAATTATAGTTGCAACGGACACAACACTGTCAAAGCACAGTTGGAAATAACAGTTCTGCATCTAGTCTATTTGTGTGTACTTTAAAGAGAAAAACAAACTAATTCTGCTTTAATTACTGCAATTGCATTATTAATTAATTAATGTGCAACGTCTTAGACCCCAATCAACTGCTCAATTGGCCTCTGTTAACCCCTGATATTGCCCCATGCATGCATACACACAAGAGATAATAAACCAAATAGTTTTGTGCAGAGATACACACATAGACAGCACACACACAAACACAGACACACACACACACACACACACACACACACACACAGACACACACACACACACACACTTACCCAGAGCCAAGCAAAGTCCCTGCACATCTCATCTCATTCCCTTCATAGTGCAGAGAAAAGACTCAAGTGTCACAAATGTTCCTGTTCCCGCAGAGGCCAGTGGCAACTCTCAAAGCTTTTGCTGCTTCCAAGCCTCCTGCCTGTGCCTTCTCACTCTCACTCTCTGCACATATCCCTTACTCTGCTCACTCTTTCTTTCTTACTTCCTCTCTCTTTTTCTTTTGCTCACTCTCTTTCTCCTCCCCTGCTCTCTGATCTGTCTTTTTCCCTTGTCCAGCGTCTGCACAATGCACATCAATTATTCAGAGGCAGTCTCCCGGTTTCTCCGGCTTATCCAATCAGAGCAGGGCTCTGCACTAATGGGCTCCTGCTGTACCTGCTACCGGCTCCAACACACTCTCGAGACAGCGGGGGGGAGGGAGGGAGAGAAATAGACAGAGGGAGCAGAAGAGACAGCCGAGGAGGAGGGAGGATGAGAGGAAGAGATAAAGACAGCAAGCCGACGCAGACAAACAGGAGTAGAGATAGAGAAGGCAAGATATTCCAGTGCTTCTCACCTCTGTCGTGAGGTGCTGTTATTGATGTGCTCAGCCTAGTCTGTCTAGCGCTCCATTGCCCTGTTTCTCTAAGCTGCCATCACACACTTAGACAGTGCACACAAAAACATGCACACATGCATAATCCAGCAATGCGACTGGCATTTGTCAGGAAGGGGAAAAAAACAGAAGAAACAAAAAAAACCCTGCAAGCTCAGATAGCACACTTGCATACATGGGAGGAGCTTAATATGCTGTGCAGGCTGGCTGGAAGCCAATAGCATGAGAGAGGAAGTGGAAGAAGAAGAAAGAATGAGGTGTAAAGATCAATTTATTCAAAGGCAGACCAATAGTAAGTTATCAGCCTTATCAGAGAGGGGATTCTCTGGACAATCTAACCTGACAACGTCCCCCCTGTCTTCATCAGAGGCCACTTTGTAAATCCAACTAACAAGACACATCAGAGGCTGAGTGCAACTGAATCAAAAAGGAGGCAGGTTGAGGGTGAATCTGAGTTCATCTTCTCTTTGCCTGCCCCTAACATAACCCAACATGGCAAAAAAAACAATATGCACCAATGAACAGGAAAGACCTAAGTTGTCATTGTTCTCTCTCTCTCTCTCTCTCGTACCAAACTGTTAAGATGTGCTGTACAGCCAAAGAGCGGGAAAGCCCACTGGCCTTGTGACAGCAGAGGGAAGTTGTCTTTCGTGTGGCCTTTGTGTGACAGACAGTCAGTCATCAACAGTTTCACAAATGTCCCACGCACAATTGAAACACACACAACGGAGGCATTGTTGGACAGAAATATAACTTGAAAAGGGTGTGTCAAAAGCCCCTGGGGGATGATGGGTGGGTGGGGGTGGGGGTTTGAGTCCTGAGGTGTGGGTGCCAGATCAGTCAACTCTGAACAAAAGATGGATTTAAATCATTTGCTCATCTGGTTTTGACAAGAACAAAGTCTTCTGTGTACCACGTAGGACCGCACTGGCAGCTCAGCTGGGATATTACCAAAATGAATTTACTTGCAACTGTGTAAACCAAACCAATTAAGTAGCAAGTGATAGAGAACCCAATCAGCCAGTGGCAGCGAATACCTAATAAGTATTTCCCCATGAGCTTTATTTCTATAAACTTAATAGTGAAGTTCTGAAGGTAGTTTTGGCTTGCAAAGGGGTTTCATCATCTAAGGCAAACCACTGGAGAGTGTCAGAGGAGAGGCCCGCCTGCTAAAAATAAACCCTGTTTCCTGTTAATAATTCAGTGCGCTGCTCTTACTCAGCAGTAATTAAATATAAAAGTCTGTAAGGTTGATTGGGTCAGTAACAAAGGATGCCTACACCTTCCTCTAGTTCTACACACACAGCTCAAAGATGGAAAGAAAGACGGGGTGAGAAAATCAATCAAGTGAAAGTAAATTGAGACAGGTAGGTGGAAGACATGTCAGACTGTTGTAGGCTAAAGGGGGAGAGAGAGAGAGAGAGAGAGAGAGAGAGCGCTAGAGAGACAGACAGAGAAAGAGAGAAGAGAGAGAGAGAGAGAGAGAGAGAGAGAGAGAGAGAGAGAAAGAGTGTTTGCACTCACACTGTGCAATGAATCTACACAAAGTCTAATGGGAGCACTTATTTTCAGTTGTTCATTCTCTTGCACTGATGGCTGAATTATGGGAGTTATGAGTTGGTGAAGTGTTTTTTCGTGAGCTGTGTGTGTGTGTGTGTGTGTGTGTGTGTGTGTGTGTGTGTGTGTGTGTGTGTGTGTGTGTGTGTGTGTTTTTTTCACGGGACACACGGTTAGTTACAGCCACACCCTGGAAGTTTTCTGTCACTGTTGACACAGCAGAGTGGCTGTTTTCCTGATGTGAAACACCAGATCGCCCTGTGAGCACGCTCTGTTGACTGACCGAGCGCTGACAATTCCACAGCTCTGCTGGAACAATGTCAGATGTGAGTGGGTGTGTGGGGGGAATTTACCAACCAACTAGAACAAAGCTACACTCTCTTATTATATTGTTGTTGTTGTTTTACACTCATTCTTAAATCAGCAGCAGAAGGGAAACCAACACATAAAAAAACATCAAAGACAATTATCACTTAGATAAAAGAGATCTTTAAATTCATCTGCTCTTTTCCCACAATAGTAAGTATTCACTACTGGAGCTTCACTTCCTGTGTGAATTCTAATAACATGTGATGCCAACATAAATTATTGAATCATTATTTCTTTTGAACAAGACCCAGGAACAACAAGCAGCAACCTGCATCTGACTTAAATATTAAAAGGAGGTTGAACATAGCGATCATTCCAGGGAGCAGCTACCTTTAATCCAGAGCGTGTCAAGTCATGTTGAAAACATAATACACAAAACTCAGTCACACTTAAGATTTACTTTCATCTCATTAAAACTTAACAGAAGGGGGCATTGTCAAATTGAGGAGGCAAAAAGGTTGCCATAAAAAGCGGAAACTGCCATGAGCTTGGTGACAGATTCGCTGAGGAGGGAAACTATAAAATCCTTGATAGATTACACGGCTAATCTGATTTGTTGTCTGCGGAACTTCACAGTAGCCCAACAGCTCAGAGTCTATTAGGGTTGTGTGTGTTTGTAGGGCAGCAGCACACCTATTATCTAATGAAGCTCTCAGTTGGATGTCTGATTCTGGCGGACTACATACTATTAGGACAAACATAAACAACTTTAAGAAGATTTACAAATGGACTGTGGATTTGAAAAGATTTGAAAAAGAAGCAGCGTCCATCAAGTATGACTAAACAAAAAAATCCATACCCGGAAGCTGCTCTTTGCAAGAGAGTAAACTTAAAAAAATTACATAAAATTGCTAGCTGTTACAGTCCACACTGACAGCGTTAAAGCTGTGTATCCTCGCTGGCTCTGAGAGTTAACAGTGCTAATGCTAGCTCGCCTAACAGCAGATAAGTCTCTTCACTGGCTGATTCCAGATTAGAGCAACACACTAATCCCCGCAGGCCTCACTGCAGGGTCACAATCTCCAGACAGCTCATCAGCAGCAGAAATTCTCTTCACTTCGCTCGACAGGTCTCACAGGGCAACAGTGTGTACTTTTATATCGGGAGGCACGCAACGTAAGGCGTTTGGAGCTTGAAAATAATGAATGCAAAAAAGTATTTTTTGAGATCTAAAGATGTCAAATTGTTCAACAAATAAGCAAGACTGCTTAATAACTAACTGGAAGTCATATATAACTTGCTACTTTGTTATTACTTGGAGAACTGTCTGCCTGATAGCGTAACTCACCTAGTATTTGCACACATTCTGCAGTGATGACAGTATTTTGTAGTTGTAGTGAGAAATACACACTAATTCTCAAGTTGTCAAACTGTTAAAAAAAAAAGGAGGGCAGCAATAATTGCTTCATCAATTTCCTCTCTTTAAGTGATGCTTTGAAAGAAAGCATCAGTGTGATTGATCCGCAGTCTTAAGAGTCTGCCTCTTCCCTGAGGAGCCCGCAGAGAGCATCCCAGACTCCTTGGCCCTCAGTCTGGGCTCTCAGGTGTCACATCTGCGGCCCTTTGTCGCCATGCAGGCTGTCAGAATATTGTGCTGGGGCTGCACAATTAGACACACATTCACGCATGCATACACACACACGCACACACACACACACACACACACACACACACACACACACACACACACACACACACACACACACACACACACACACACACACACAGAGACACAGACAGTAAAAACACACAAAAAAAGACAGTACAGACAGAGCTGACAGAGCAGTAAAGGCCAAATGCTTCTCTTCTCTCTCTTGTTTCTGTGAGTGCATGCATGTATCTCTGAGTTCAAGTGTGCATCACGTCTCCTCTGTCGCCCTCCCGTCTGCTTTCTCAGACAGACGTCCTTGTGAGGGAGGTAAGACGGATGCTCAGTGAGTAAGATCAGCCCTGAGTCACATCTGCCTCCCACCCCGACAGCCTGCCTGCCTGCCTCATTTGATGACTGGCCGCATCACATCTCCCATCCCTTCCCCTCCGCCACCACCCGACATAATTACACTACAGTTCCCATTTGTCCACTGTGCATAAACAGCTCTTCCTGAAACCCAGTGCTGTCTTCTATTAGATCCCAGAACCATCAGCAGGCCTGAGCATGATTCTGACTGTCAGTCAGGCCCAGACAGCCAGCCAGTCCGAGCCATGCCTGGACAACAATCACATTATCCCAACACAGGAACACAGACGGAGAGAGAAACACAGCAATCAATATTGTACACTGACGTCTGTCTGACCACTTAAGTTCCTCCCAACAAGACGCTTCCCACCGCAACTGAAAGAAGATATTCAGCTCGAGCAAATGTTCATATCATAGGACCATGTGAGCAAAAAAGAGCAGAAACTGATACATTTCTGCCTTCTGCATATTCAGTTGCAACACACTGCAGCTTGTATGAGGAATTACAGGATAAGATTTCAGATTTCAGTGCGTTACTGTCAGCACTGTCACTGCAGTTCCTGTTATGAAACAGTGACATATTCACCCTGTCAGAAAAACAAAGAAATCAGACAGTTTAATCAAAATATTTGACTCTCACTACTCCCACTTATGTAACTGCCACACAAAGGTTTATCTGTGTTCTGACTGGCTGGCTACGGCTTTGTCAGGTCTCTGTCAGGCAGAGTGAGTGGTCCAGCACACATCAGCGACACCTCCCCAGCCATCCATCTCTTTCTCTCTCTCCTCTCTCCCGCCTCTGCACATTTCACTTTGACAAATGTACAAGAACAGGCCGCTCCTGCAGGACTGTGGGAGGCGGGGAGGGGAGGTATGGATCGGAGGGGGGAAATTGGATTTGATAGATAAATGTCTGAGGGTAGCGTTACTGCTCGCTCTTGCTTCATATGTGTGTGCATGCAGACTGCACAAGTGTGGGGTTTGTGCACAAAGACTGTTGAGTAGACTATTTTTGAGAGGCTACCACCCGGACAGCTCATCTCAATAGCACATTAATGTTTAATGGGGACTAAAAATATCTGACATTATAATGCTCTATGGGCTTTTTGTGTGATGTCTGTGGTTGCAGCTGTTTGTTGAAATAAAAAAAAAAAAATCCGAACCACAGATTCATGGTAACTTTAACAGACACAGAAAGGAGCAGAATAATTTGCAAATTAAACTGTTTGTTGGTATAATCATGAGCTTCTCTGTGTCTTGCTAACAAAACATCCTAATAACCTTTATATAGTGCTCAAAACACAAAACAGCTACATTGTGCATTAATGTCCTGAGTCCAATAATGAAATGCTTCTGACTGGATCACGACTTTAAGCCATCCAGCGACATGTTTTTAATTGTTTTAATTTCATGAAAAAGTGAGTAATTGTAGCATGAAGAACAATGAGCATTCATTGTACCGTCCACTGTCTTGCAAGTCAACGGCAGTAAATGGGATGATGTATGAGCATGCATCTGGCGGCGTTTTAGTAAAGTGGTGGTTCTTACCTGCAGACTTGGGAGTGAATTTGTCCCTGTTGGCGGCACACACAGCCAGCAACCTGTAGCCCAGGTCTAAGTCATACCCCTGCTGAGCAGCGACGCGACTGACCACCTGAACAAAGCAACAGATTGTGAGTTTTTTAATAATACTTTTATCAGATCATCACTATAATAAACTGGGTGAAGAGCGCTTTCTTATGCAATACCACAAGATATTAATCTCTTACACGAGTAATGAATGCTAAATAAACCTTAAGCCATAGTTAAGGCATCTTAATCCTTTCACTTTCTCAATTGTGTTAATATTTTGAGCCTCAGCTATCATTTAACTTAATTTGTCTTCAGACAGCCTCACATACAATAAACACTCGCTCACAAGCACACACAGACACAGTGAGATTAATGTGGAGTCTGCAGTCTGGATTGCTCCACTGATCCACAGTCAGGATGAGTCTGATGACTGCATCAACCTCCAAGAGAGGTGAGGGAGCCAAACCACAGTCACTCTGCAGAACGAGCAGAGTCTCTGAAAGGTTATCCTCAGACAAGCCCGCTCTGGGCCTAAAGCGAACAGTTTGTCTCCTGACTAAAGGTTGCCGGTTCAATTACCCAAACAGAGCAGGAGAAATAATGGGTGAACAAAGGTTAAGAATCCTCGCTTTCCCTGAAAATTTGAGAAGAACCAGTACCCAGCTGTAAGAATTTAAATAATCCTTTTGTGTTAATGACTTCAAAAAGAGGTTGAACATTTATGGGACACGAAGCAGAAGCCTCCCGGACTCTAATATAATGGTAAAGGGGGAATGCTGAGTGACGTTAAACAGGACTCAGGAGACAGGGGTAAATCATTATTAGAAGAGAACCCCCTTTGCTTTTATCTGCTAACAGATGACTGCTCCTCTGCTCCCTCTGACCTCAAAACACACATTACCGTTAACAAGGTCAGCTGGGTAGCCTTTTAGGGAGCCAACATAACAGCTAGCAGTGATCATAAAGTGCCTTTGTCACAGGTAATATAGCTGCTTGAGCACTGATTGAAAAACTAAGGAAATGATATCAATAAATAACCTTTGTTTGATTGTTTTAATCAAGAGATGGCAACATACAATCCTTGAGTTGCAGTAAGTCGTGTTGCATTTATCTGAACCGTTTACGTGACATAAGGATGTCATTTCAGGGACAAATAATCTATGCAAACCAACCATATTATGCAAACGATGACAATTCTGACAAACCGTCAAAACGTGTTGTTGTCAATTGTTTAATTTCCTGTGTGAGTTAGTCTGCCCTTCAGTTTGCAGGCAGACAGCCAGCTACAGAGGCTAGCATAGATTCAACACAGATTTAACAGTGTTTCACCTCATAAGCCTTTTTCAACTTAATCTCCCTCTGAGGACGTACATCCAGGCCCATATTCCTGTCCATATAAAAACAGTGCTGTAAGAGGTGCTGGGGGGTTACTGGGGCTTTCGTATCTTTGTTTATCTATTTGCTGGTGAAAAAAAGGCTTCAGTTCCGTAGTTTATTTCTGCTTGTTGTTGAAACTGTTGAACTAAGTGGGCGATTTTTACAAAACTGTGAGACTAGAGGCAGAAATAATACAGATGTCTGCATACACTGACAATAAAGAAAGAAAATAAAGAAAGAAAGTCAAAAAATAGTCTTTAGGCATACGGAGCTAATAGTGCAGAACTGACAGCTCAGTTATGTCATATTTTATTGGCTCTGAAGCCGATACCAGAGATACCAGAGATCGGAGCATGACCTCCACATGTACAACATGCCAGAGGGAACAGACGTCTCCACATGAGGCACAAATCTCATACACCGTGGGCTATGATTAAAATAGATGCTCAGCCATCTTTAAATTTCAATTCAGCGATCTAATATATAACGAGCGAGGTAACTTCATGAAGGGAAAATCCCTGAAAGAATGCATGGACTTGTTGCACGCTGTAATTCTCCAGATAAGAGGCAGTTTGCTCTCCGAGTCTGATGAAACAATTTAGCTGATGGAAACCGCCCCATGCTGAGAGGGATCTCAGTGGTGGGCTCCATTGTATAGCTCTTTATCAGCCTTTAAGAGGCTTTTATTGTGATTTACACATTAATGAGCATTTATCTGTTTGCTCACGCTACCACTTCAGCTGGGGACAATGTTCCTTCAGTGTTTCAACGGCTGATCTGAGCGATAAACGTTAAATTCTCTGCTCCAAAGCCTCTTTCACACGTGTACGTAAGTGTGTGTGTGTGTGTGTGTGTGTGTGTGAGTATTTTTCACACACACCTGGTGGAGGCCAGCTCTCTGGCCTTGTGCCCAGATCGATGAATGGTAGCTGGTGAACTGAAAGGTGGTAGCCAGAGGTGGCTGGCTACCCACAGTCCTGTTCAAAGCTCTTTTTGTTGTGCATGTGTATGTGTGTGTGTTTGTGTGTGTGTAAAGCACAAAGTGGAGAGAAGCAGTGGGTGAAGGAGGACTTTAACCTGTGTCACTGGCCCCTGACGGCCTGAGCAGCTGCCTTGGATAACTGCTGGATACAAACCTGGGGAGACTATAGCCTGCTGTTTTTACTCAGATTTGTAGGGAAGAAAAGGTATAACCCGAATACAAAATGAACATGAGGCAAAAAAGCCTCAGAAGTGGACACATCAGCTCATGTTTTTTTTCCTAACCATCCAAAATCTAATTATTGTTTTGCTCATGTCTCCAAAAAAGTACCTGAAAAACCCAACAAAAACCATAATTAGTGTTTGCGTACCGTCAGACATCCCATGAGACTTTGCTCGAAAGGTCGCTGGAAGGCCCGGGGATCTCCACACCAGTCGAGCAGCTCTGTGGCTGCTGAGTGGAAGTTGGCCGGGTTCTGTAAGTGCTGTGCAAACACAGAGAAAGGAGACAGCCATTAGAAACAATGGGAAATAATGAGCGTTATTTTTTTCAGATTAAGTACAAATTGGAAAAACACTGAAACCAAATAGTTTTGCAGCCTTGCGCTCTCCCTCCAAACTGCCTTGATTTAATGTCTTCTGTTTCTGCACAACCCTGTGAGGACCTTGACTCCTTCCAATGTACGCCCACTCAGGGCTCTGCTGCATTGTGGGAAGAAGATCACACCCATATCAACAATGATGCCAGTGTTTCCTGTTAATCTCTCTTGGCAACACCCAGCCCTCACCCCCATGACCCACACAGCAACCAAATCTTTCCTTCCAATCCTCCTTCTCTCTCTTCCCCTCATTCATTGCCTGTTTTCAGAATGTAACAGAGCCTCGGCACCAGAAGTCCACTGGCCGGCTTGGCTGTTCACAAAGAAAACAACCTTGGTCCTGGCAGCTATGGGTGCAGACTCAATATGCGCCGTTGGTGTGTTGTCTAATCTCTTTCAGTCTCTGTCCGTCTCTCTCGCCTGTTCACTGAGGCCTGAAACAGTTGAGTCTTTTCTTCCCAGTGTCTGAAGGCTAGTCAGGCTGGCAGGACACAATAAGCGGTTTTAAAATTGGGCTCCCTTTCTTCACGGCTCAGGAGGTTAATAGCTCTGAAATGGCGCAGAGCTGCAGCTTGTTCAGTCGGCGAGATTGAGCCCACTTGAAAGCATTTATTATTCTCATCTGGGGCTGAAGCGTTTTGTTTTGTGTGTTCTTGCAGAGAAGGTAGGACCATTGTCTTTAGGGGGCAGCAGAGGTGAGCGTTTTTTGAAAGGGCAGCTTTTTTGGCAGTGTGTGACAAAAGGGCTCTTCGGTGCGAACATGTTATGCCCAGTACCCGCCTGCAGAGAAAATCTCTGAGAGCTTCCAATGATATCATGAGCTTCAAGAGAGGCCTTGAGTGACTCATCTTTTCTGATGTGAAGATTAGCCATTATAGAGTTAGCTGTGGACTCTCACAGGGGTTTGACTGAGGATGAAGAGAAAGCAGGGAGACTGAGAGAAAGTGAGAGATGCTCTTGTTGAGTGAGAGGGAGGAGAAGAGCCTGTTCTAGATGAGTGATATAATCTGGCATTATTGCTGCTTGATGGGAGGCGTATCAGCCTCCAGCGCGAGAGGAATCAGAACTAGCACAGCAGGGGCTGTCTGTCTAGATCTGAACTCACAGCTCCTCCTGCTGCAGCGCTTGCCACCGACTCTGCCTGACAACCTCGACTCTGGTGTGAGGGGGAGGACAGCGGAGGGAAACAGCTCTGCTGAGTTTTGGGAGCAGGACGGGGCCTGAGCTGCTCTTGTTGTTGTTGCTGTTCAGGGTTGGATGAGGACAAGAAAGGGGAGATGGGGGTGGGGGGCTGAGAAGCAGTGATGGGGTTTCAGCAGACAAAGACCCAGACGTTTGACAGACTGTCCCGACTGTGAGATGATGGACTGACTTACCCCCTTTTCAGGCCAGCCAAGGATCAGGCTGCTCAGTGCCTACCTGGCTGCATGAAAAACAGCATAACACCTGGCTCTCTGCCAGCGGCTTTCCCCAAACCAAAACAACACCCTGCTAGCAGAACCGCCACAAGCTCAGCTCACTGACTAACTTGCTGCCTTTGAAGTCTGGTTTACTATGAGTTCTATTACAGCCAGAGCCGAGGAGTATATAAACCAAGCTACAATTAGTGTATTTATTAAGCTAGATGTGTTAACTCAGGCTATTTAGGGCTTATCAGTGCCGCCTGAGAAAATAATTGAGGAGGCTTTGTGAAGTGAGTAGTGTCAGTTCCACCCCATTTTTACTCATTTGACGTCACGCACATCGCTACATGCAAAGTAGCAGAGCTGAGGCAATAAGAGCCTGTTTAGATAAAGGTTGTTATAGTGGGTGCTCAGGAGTTTAGGTGGAGGTGGGATGGGGGGAGGGGGCTTTAACAGCAGGCACAGAGAAAAGGAATATGTCACCTCATAATCGCAAGCTCAAAGCCCTATCATTCACTGATTCACTGTAAGCTATGGTGTCATATGGATGTTGGGAGATAGAAAGGATCACACCCACATGGCATAAACAAATAAGCCCACAGCCTGCCAGCCAGCCAGCCAGCCAGCCAGCCAGCCAGCCAGCCAGCCAGCCAGCCAGCGACTTCTTGTAGACTATTAATCACAGGCAGAGGCGGTAGCCCTGGGTTATGTCTGTCTGTTTGACTCCGTCTTTCTATCCGTATCTTTCTGTGAGGAGTCTCCTGAATGCTGGCAGTCAAGGAAGCATTTAAGCTAAACCACAACAAGGGCCAGCATACGTCAAGAGTCAGGAACGTGATGTAAGGGTGCACAGGACCAGGAAAGGGTTGGGGGGGGGGGTTGCTAGCGTCTTTGAAGTCTCTTCATGTGTTCACTGCCAGATTTGCCTCTCTCTCTCTCTATGACCCTGTGCAACATGATCTGTGTGACTGGAGCTAATGGCCAGAAAAACTGATGCCCATATAAGGTGCTGAAAGGAGAAAGGAGTGTAGGAGAGGAGAGGAAATGCAGATTCTTGTGTCTTTGCCTCTAGAATCCATGTCTCGCATAGTACGGAAGGAAGTTCAAGGAGGCTGCTACACATGAGGGTTTATACACACCTGTTTGATGCACAGCAGCCTGTCATTGGTCTGCTGGATGTGCCGGTCCATTGATGGTAACGTGTTCATCTTGATGTCTCTACCGGGACGCCATTAAAAGATCTTTATTCTGTAAAAACAGGAAGAAGAAGAGGGGGAGAGGTACATCTGTTAGAACAGGTTTTTGTCAGGTCACCCATGTGAGGAGTTTGTAGCCTGTGAAGTTCAAACAGCATTTTAGCAGCTTGACAAATTCTCAAACAGGGAAGGCAGCTTGTTTATACACTGACTCATCTAAGGGCTTGATCTGCCTCAAGCGCGTTTTTTTTCCAGCAAATGCATGAAACTGAGATATTACACAGCGGCACCAGTAACGACAGAAACATGACAAAACTGAAAGAAAACTTTATTACTTTATGTTACCTGTGGGAGGAAAATGTAACCGAGAAAGGACATCAACTGTTATCTCTCTTTAAAAAGAAGCACACCTCACAGTCAAGGTTATCAGTGTGGCATAGACACCTAATTTATGCCCACATCTAAACGCAGATAAGGTTCAGCTTCACAGCATCTCTTTCTTTGTGTGTATATCTTGTTCTGATCCAACAGTGAGCAGCAACAACAAGAACAATTTGAGCCCCCATGCTCACTACTCCGACCATCTCGGAGAAATGGGTTGAGGCTGGATTAATAGGTATTGTGCTGCTTTGCCAGCGAGGCCTCCGTCCCTCACCATCCCTCTGTGTTTATCTCCATCAGTGTTGGTCCGCCTCACATTCCTCCACACAAAAGGCGAACTGAGAAACCACAGGTGGGAGGGGGGGGGGCAGGGTTCTAGAAAGCTGCTCAGTACTGATAAAGGGTCCCCCAAGATCCCCTGCTGTGACAAACAGAGCGAGAGAACGAATGCGATGGAAGCATAGTGCTCAGCCAGGGAGTTTTCATGTGTAATGCTCAGTCTGGTGGGCTTATCTTAGAAAGAGTATTGCAAGTATGCACACTATTTTCTCGTCTCTTTCTCTCTTACACACACACAAACACACACACACACACAGACACACACAGACACACACACACACCTAAGAGCATGTAAACACAAAAGCTTGAATTCTTTACTTTGATTAAGCGTAAAGGTAAAACTTCAAAGGAACACCTTGAGAATAAGAGTGTATTACTAATCCTCTGAGCTTAAGCATTACCAGAGTAGAATTACCTGGAGTGCACTTGCACAAAGTCTTAAACATCAGCGGATACATTGCTGGCATGAGTAAGGGGGAATTCTGGAGCAAATGCGGTCAAACGGTGGGCAGCCAAATGTCTCTTGTCAGGTTACACGGACATGATGGTGCAGTGGTTGCTGACTGTCTGTGAAAAGTCCCTAAAAACCAGCCCTGCAGGGCACAAAGCCACCCTCACCGCACATAATCTGACCATAACTTTGGGTGGCCTAATTCTGCTGTGTCGTGTCTCCCAGCATCCAGCAGATGTCTCCCTCTCCTGCTGCTAACCAGCATGTCTCTTTCACAAACTACACCCGGAGCAAGTGGTCCAGAGAGGGCTCCTTTAAGCCCTGACAAGTGCTACAAATCCCCTTCAGCAGCCAGGCAGCTCCACGGACCGCTAACAGGGCACACTCCAGCCCAGTGCTGGCCGTCTGACCTTGTGGCTATTGATTAACTGTTTCTCCTCAGCTCCCCTTCCTGCTGTCCCAACACACCCACAGCCAAGACTGAAGAGAAAGGAGGAGGGTGGGAGGGGGTTGAGAAATCTGCCTTTTCTTTACTCAATAATCTCTTCTTTTTTCCCTCCTTTCCACTGTTGTGCTTTCACAAGGACCAACACACACACACGCACGCACACACACGCACACACACACACGTCCTCCCACAAACGGGCAGTGCTTTGTCAGTCGATGAAAAGACGGGCCCTCTGGTTCTGAAAGGAAAATGAGTGAGGTGGAAATGCAACTGGCCGGCCAGGCGGTGTTCAGTCGGTGGCGAACAGTGATAAGAAGTCAATCCACCTGACTGACTGACAGACTGACTGTCCAGGCTGATGACCACACCCCCCATTCAGGGGGAGAAATGTGTTGCATAACAGTGGAAACATTGTAGAATCACTCCTACTGCCCCACATCCTCACCCCTCCCTGTTTACTATCAAAATAAAACTGTAATCTGTCAACAGGAAGGCATACAAGTAGCAAAATGTTCTCACACATCTCTGCCTCTCCGTAGATTGACTGATTACAGCTGGACGAACAAAACTGGTAGCGTTGTGTGATTTTTCTCCTGTTTTCCAGATTTTTTAAGTTTCTGTTTTAGATTTTTTTGGGCTACTGCTGTAGTTATTTGAGCATGCACAAGCTGAAGACGGGGCAGCTTAATCTTTATTGTCTTCCAAACATCTTAATCAGCTCCACTCAGCACTGCTTACCAGAGGTGCAAAGCAAAGGATTACACATCCAATTATGCTGTGCATATTACAACCACCCTTTAAACAGCAGTGGGAGGATACTGCTATGAATCAGAGCAGAGTAACAAACCACAAATAATACTAACATCCAAGGGAGCTTCTGTTTCGTTATTTCAATGTCTTAAACACACACACACACACACACACACACACACAAACTCTCTCTCTCGCTCTCATTTTTTGTGTTGTCCCTCCTTCTCTCTTTCCTGGGCAAAACAAGCAGGGGGAAGCGGGGCAAGAAATAAGTGCTCAGAAACAAAAGCAAAGTAATATGAAAAGCACTGGAGTATGGCAGGAAGGGGGCAAGAAGGGCCAGGCTCAGTGGGGAAAAGAGACAGAGAAAGAAAAAGAGAGAGTGTTGAAATTATCTCTTCATTATCAGCACACACACACACACACACACACACACACACACACACACACACACACACTTATTCATGCGTGCACACTCACACGTAGCATATGATCACTCATAGCATGAGTGATTTCTCATTTCAGACAAATGACTACCACCTTTGTCAAGTGAAGCTTGCTTTGTGAGTGTGATCAGTCAGTGGGGGTTGCATGGAAGCGCTTACACAGGAGCTGACATTGCACTCCAATACTGGGTATTGTAAAGGAGCAGGGCTGGGCATTATGGTTGGAGTCAATATATCTCCAATTCCAGTATATTCCAGTATTTTCCCTTAACGTTTAGGATTTAGTAGCATCTAGTGGCTTACTTGCAGATTGCAACCAACTGAATACTGCTCGCCTTTCATGGGTGTAGGAGGAAATACAGCGGCGCAAAAGACCCAATCTGGAGCCAGTGTTTGGTCTCCATAAAAGAGGTCCTGCTCCCTTCATATGTAATAACTGCTCATTCTAAGGTAACAAAAACACAACGGTTCTTATTTTCAGGTGATTATACACTAATAAAAATATTCCCTATGAATATTATATTACATTTTTAATAGTTCCTCCTAAATGTTACACACTGTACCTTTACATTTAGCAATTTGAAGCAATTTATACGCATAAAACAATCTAAAAATGCAAATATGACTGAAATACACAAGGGTTAAGGAGAGCTGGCCAACAATATCCAACACCACAAAGGTATTAGAGTTGTATACAGGCAATCTAAAACACATTCAAAGTAGTCACAGAGGACATGCTGAGAATAGTATATATCTTTCTGAGGATTTGTTCAGTATTTGGCTGTGCAAGGGATCCCTGAGGTCAACAACACCTTGCAATTGGTTCTTGTCCTTTTGACGTAAACAATTCAATAAATGAAAAGGTTAATGCATAATAACAAACTCTTCATAGGTGGGGGACAAAAACGTCAATAGCTTATTTTGTTGGCTTTTAATTACATCTTGCTCAGAATAATATTTAGACAACAGAAATGTGTGAAATGATAAAATGACATGATCATGTCATCAGAATATGATCCTGCTGAAAATTGATAAACAATGATATCAAATTATAAGCTCTAGAAATAGTACAAGTCCTGTAGCCACATAAAAGCTTTGCCTCTGGAGGCGAACATGCTGTAGTTTTCTCTTAAAATGTATAAATGCATAATGTTGAAATTATTTAGTGGTTTGAAAGGGTTTCACAGGCCCTGGAAGAGGAAGGGATATATTCTGTGCGTTCAAGATTTTCAGTTTAAGTTAAATAATTATGGGTTTGTTTGCAATACTAAGGCACACAACACCTTTTGTGGTGTTTTAATGCCTAATCTTCTAGCCTCTCCTGTATGCAAAGTGTAGAGGGCAGTGCTCAACAATCTAAAAGGAGCAACTGGGTGAAGTTTGGCCAGAGATGATCTTCATTATTCAGCAACAGTCTGGAAAAGGAGAACATATAACTCTTGCTCTCTGGCCACAGTGGGAGATCTTCTGTCCTCCTCCTCCTCCTCCTCAGTTATGGCCACAGCTTTTCTTTCTTTCACTGCTATGTGCTTTTTGCTTCCCTTTTCTATAGCCCTCAGACATCATTAGAGCCACCCAGCATGCACACTCCTTTCCACCACCTTCCATTTTCCGTTCTATCATTTTCCTCTCCCCATCCCTCATATCTCAACCCTCCTGCCACTCTTCCTCCCACCCTCCCTCACACTCCTTCTCCTTCCTGGGGCCCCGTGCGGGAGCTGCCATAACAGGAGGTGGAATGGATTCATTTGCTCTAATGTGGTTTGGGCTGCAGCGTGGCACGGCACAGAGCGACACTTTCTCCCAGCGCACAGAGCTTCTCTCCCTCTCTGTCTGCAGTTCATGTGTTTTCAAACAGGCCAATCAACACCACTCAGCTGTGCTGGCCTCTCTCTCCCTCCAACAATCTCTGCTCTCAGTGTGTCTGTAAAAAGCCACCAGCCCTCTCTCACACACACTATTATCTCTAGTGGCAAACTCCCATAGCCAGACAGTCCCTTTTTGCTCCCATTGCCTTTATTTTCTCCACTCTGTCCTCAGCTTCTTCTCTTTTTTTTACAAACCGACTTCCAACATCTCTGTCTCTCTGCCTTGTTTTTGTTCTTTGCATTATTTTGCTAATCCTCTCCTCCACTAATCTCTCCTCCCTCTCATTTTCCCTCTCAGCAAAGCCAGCTACTGGTCATATCGCTCCCTCCGGCCTTTATAAAACTCAACCCTCTACACAGCATCATAAC